AATGAAGATTTAATTTATGGCTTACATTTATATAGTTTTTATCTTTGTATATTATTTAAAATGGTATATTTCGATATAGAATAACTTATTCTATATTAAAATATACCGTTTTAAAAGACTTAAGGTACTTCTATATAATTAAAAAGACGAAAATTCTAAAAATTTTATTTTTATAAAATTATAATTGCTTTAAGGTCAAAATTATTCACATAATTTTAATTTGTCCTCAAAATTTAAAAGGAAAAAAGAAATTGAGGTAATTTTATATTTATCTTAATATTGGTATAGATTTTTACTCTTAGCAACCATGTTATGAAATTGTAACACCTCTATTGCAAGTTATTTCTAGTGCAATTCCATCCCAATTTGTTTTCAAGTATTCTCACTTTGCATAACTGAAAAAAATATATATTTTTTTAGGAATTAAGTCAAGACTCTCACAAGATTAATGCCTCCAAGACCAAACGCAAAATGTAAATAAGTGTTTAAATAGAATTATTTGAACTCGTTGTCCCAAATCTACTTGTAGCAGAAAAGTACTTATAATTGGTGCGTGTTCTGCCATCATAAGTTTTAATGATGATATTAATTGTATTGGAAATATTTTAATTGTTTTAGTATTCCATGTGAAAGTTTTTTTTTTAAAAAATACATTAAAAAGTGGCCATAATAGAGCTTTAACTCATTGTAAATAGTCATTAAACTTCTAATACTTTAAAAACACAGGGAAAAGAAAAAAAATCTAAGAAAAAGAGTTTATATTAAAAAAAAGGAAATTAAAGAATGCCAACCATATAGTTCTGGATCCCATTGATTAGTTCTGTTTTGTTTTATGTTAATAAATATTATCTGATTTTAAAAACAGTTTTTTCACAGAACATGTTTTTTTTGTTTCGGTTATACCGTTTACATAATATCTTTACTAATACTATATAAAATTTCTTAAAATTTTCCACAAATGTTCGTTACGTATAGCTAGAAAATTACCTTCATTGATGAGTCTCGTTTACTCAGATTTGTACCTATGAAATTTAGAATAGGCGAGTAAAATTGTGAAAATCACTAATTCTAATGAAAATGACTATATTTTTGCAAGTTTTGATGGTTTGAACATGAAAGTGGCACAGATAGTAGTTTACATTGTTATAAAACAACTATGCAAGTTTCAAAGTTTAAGAGTTACCCTATATTAAATAATTATGTAAACGGTTTAGCCCCTTTTAAAGACCAAAACCAACTTTTTTATAAGGATTAAAAAAAAAATTATTTCTTATATCTTCATTCGACCTATATTTGTAATTTATGTTAACTATATTTGTAATTAATGTGTTTTAAGAAAAAAATTGTCTAATTGTATAGAAGTACCTTAATTCATTAATAAATTTTATTTATTTAATTCTCTTAAAAGGGGTCCACTCTGGTACTACCTTGTTAAATGATGGGGATTCCCCATTCATTAAACACGAATTGTAAAATCTACTCTTTTTCGATGATTACCATATGGCAACCCTACTTATATAACGTTTTATTCAGGGTCGTATGTAATATAAGTAAACTTTTCTAATAATTACAAGTCTTTTTTGCTGATGCTGCTTTGTTTTGATTTTTGTAGTTATGTTATCATATTTTAAAAAATTGACAAGATTGAAAAAACACGAAAGATATTGTAACATACATGTGGAAAATTTGAAACTTCAACTTTAGATTTGCCTCTCTCTCTCGATTATTTTTGATTGCTAAAACTACGTTATCTGCTTCTTAGACCTTTCAAAATGATAGTCATAGAAATAAGATTTTATTTCCATTTTATTTAAAAAAAAGATATATGAAATATATTTTTATGTGATATATTTTAATAAAGACAAAAACTATTTATTTATTACTATTGTAATAAATACATAGTTTTTAATACAATCTCTTATCCGTGAAAATGATTTATCTGTACAAGTTTTATATATTTTTATGCATTTGTATGCAACATAATTAAATTAATTTATCATAAATGCGAAAGGAAACTTGACGGATAAAGGTTTGTTTTGCCACAAGCTGACGTCAATGCTAATTCTTTTCGGCTTAACTTTTAGATTACCGTTTTAGATTATTATTATTATTCTTTAGTTCTTAATCATAATCATAAGAATGAATTTTTTTTATGACTATGTTTAAGTGCTCTAAGATCTTCTTTTTTCCATTAGTACGTAACGTTATACACGTTACGTACAAACGTCTGTAAGTGTAAACGTGTTTAGCATATGTTGAGTTTGCAGGCATTATATGGAATAATCGCATATATCTATAAATCTATAAAATGAGAAAACTTGAAAATTTTATTTTAAATTTTAGAAAACTTTTTTGCTATTTTGTTATTTTTTGCTATAAATGTATTAGAAAGATTGAAAAAAATTCAAAATTTGTTACGGTAAGAGGAGGTCTTAAACCCTCCAAAACAATACTGATGACAGCGCAGTTAACCACTGAGCTATCAACGAATCATTTAGCAGAAAAACAAACCGTATTTTAAGTCTCTTATAAGCCCTATTTATGCGGAAAAGGTGCGCATGTTATTTTCTCTTAAAGTTATTTTCCAGAATAAATTATTTTACTAAAAAAGTATTGAAATAAATAAGGTATAGTTATAGAAATAATCGGCGATGAATAGATATGTAAATTGGTAAAGACGAATTTTACGGATCTGGAAATCTAGGGTATATAAGAAAAAAGTATGGAAAAGTTTGGTTTGCAATAGATTTATAAAAATCTCAGCTAGTCTATTAATAACATTATTTTGTTTACTATATTTTGATAATGTTCCGTAAAGTTACGTAAAGTTCAAAACGCGTTCCGTAAAGTTCAAAACGTTTTGAAATGCAATGGAATGGTATTAATCGAAAAAAGTTTCGTATAACTAACGGGAATTTTGTCAACAGGAGTAAAAAATCATTTCAAATAACCGAAATTTCAAATAACTGCAAGTTCGAATAACTGATGGATATTTGCATGAGTTTGTTAAGGAAAACTCACGTGAAAGAAAGATGACAGGAAATTTAAATAAGCGCTAGTTCGATAAAGCGGGAATTTATTGTCCTTAAACGCACGTTTAGCTTTTTTGAATAAAGCGTTGACTTCGTAAACGGAATGTCTGAGATTCTAGACTCGCCTCTTCATGATTTTTTTCTTTTTTTTTACACACACACATACAGCCGAATGTTAATAAAATGAAATAGTAATATGAGCAAAAATTGATTGCAAAATTTGTGTTTTAATAGCATATGGAAACATCGGGTATTAAAAATTTGTTTTTAATTTTACTTGTTGCTTGTTAGATTGAACGATGGATTTTTCCAATACATTTTCTAAAATATTTGATCCACAAGTTTGTTGTAACTTTTGTAAATTAATCATTTCTTTGAAATTTAATTATTTCTTGAAAAGTCATTTAAACTCAAAAAAACACAAAATGTCTTTAGACGAGTAAACTTTAAAAATTTAGTGTATTGGGAAAATATGTGAAGCATTTATTTTAGCTAATATGGAATATTAGTTCAAATAAATTAAGTGGAATATTATATTCCACTTCATAAATTAAATCATCCCTCCTAAAATAATATTTTACAAAAGTATTGATGCTATGAATACCCAACGATCTGCAGGGCACCTCAAAGCGCATGGTCGGGTTCTGGGAACGCGCTGAACCTGCCTTCAGTCGGTCCTGAGTACGACTATGCAAAACATAAATGAGACACAGTGGCGCACAAAGAACACAAATAAAAATAAAAATTGCTATACAAATTACACTTTAAAGATACAAATATAAGCATTTTTTATTTACTAGATTATTTTTTGAATTAAAACTAAAATAAAATTCAAATGTAGTATATTATTAATTCTAAAATTATTTGAATATTTAAAATTACTTGTTTTTTTTTCCATTAACTTAAAATCAATCAAAATATATTAGTTAATGTTAGATGTATGTTTTGTAATTTTTCACGGTTTCATCAATTTGCTTATGCAATAATATAGTAATGTTTTAAAATTACACCTTCAGTTTTTTTAATGGTTATCATGGATCCTGATAATGTCAACCTAGCTTTTTTTTTTTTATATATTTTTTATTTTTTTATATTATTAAGGTGCCCCAGGAAGTCCTTACGGTCTTACCACAGAGCACCCTGGATGAGCATTTTAATTGGAAGTTCACGACTCCTTCCTAACCAATTCGCAAAACTTGCCCAGAGGTGGGGTTCGAACCACGGATCTTTTGTATTTGAGGCAAGTGCGCCACCACTGCGCCATGGCTGCTCAAAATGCCATTTAAAGCGTGGTTTGAATTGGCTTATGCATAGCATGAATATATCAACAATATTTTAACTGTCTAAACTACTGCCAAAATCTAAAAAAAATGCTAAAAACAGGTGCAAAAGCTGGTCAACGGACAACAAGTTGGTAAAACAAGCAAAAAAAATATGTCTCTATTAACGAAAGTTTTTTGTTTTTTCCACATTATTTAACAATAATGTGTAAAAAAAATTGCTAAAGCTAGCTAGATGTAGTTGTTGCATCATTATTTTTTTTATGCTGGTTTCCTTAACTTTTTTTCTTAAATTTTTTTTTCTTTGGTAGTTTTCTTAATAACTAAATAAACAAATCATTCGTGAGTTAAAGGTGATGAAGTAATTATTATAAAAATAAATACTAGTTAAAAAATTAAACTCCCTAAATAATACAATGTGCTTGATATTTCAATTCTAAGTGCGCTGAAATTCTCAACAGTAACAAATGATAAATTCATTTTCTACAACCATGTTATATAAATGATACACATATATATATATATATATATATATATATATATATATATATATATATATATATATATATATATATATATATATATATATATATATATATATATATATATATATATATATTATATATATATATATATATATTATAAGCGTAACTCTAATGCTAACTTAGCTCTAACCAGTCAAATTCAATAAAATAAGTTTTCATAAATCTTTTCTTGGTAACAATGATTTGTATTTTGTATTTAAGAAACACAATCGTCTTTCATACATTCATTCCATCGATAAAGACATTTTAGCAATGTTTTAAAACCTGTAAAGTTCTGATAACACTCGTTCAAATCGTAAAAACACTAAAAAAAAAACATTACTTTGAATTTATATTATGCAAAAAATAGTAACAACTAATATTTGTTTAACAAGTTTAACTTGTTTATAGTTGTATTATTTGTCTATACCTCTCCAGCTGAACATTTATCGTTTAAACATGTTTCGAGATAGAATAAACAAGACAGACTTTCCAATATCGATGTTGATGTTTTCTTACATTTAGAGTATTCATCCAAGCACTAAAAACAACAATAACATGATAAAAATGTCAATTTACTTAAGGGCTACAAACAAAAATTAATAAGAACATCAACCTAAATAAAATAATTTTTTTTTTATAAAAATGAAGATTGTGAACTTTCTAAATTTCTTACTTTTTTCGAAACTGGTTCTGTTTCTATTAACTCTGTAGTTGAAGGTTCTGTAGATAAATCAGTGTTATCATATGGAGTTGTAGTTGATTCTTCTCCTGATGTTTCCAAATCTAAATGTTAATTACCAGCATAAAAAAATTATAAATGACTCCTAACTTTTTGACTCTTAAGTATTAATCTGATTGATTTAATCCACAATTCGTAGCTTATTTTTATAGCTTTGATATTTAAGTGAGTTAAGTATAGCTGGAGTTTATTTAAGTTTAGTATAACTGGAATTTAAGTGAGTTTAGTATAAATGGTGTTTAAGTGAGTTTAATATAACTGGAGCTTAAGTGAGTTTAGTATAACTGATGCTTAAGTGAGTTTAGTATAACTAGAGTATATTGTATGGACTGTATGAGAATTGTAAAAATGATTGTAACTGCTTTTGGCTTTTTTTTTTTACTGTATAATGTATAAATTTACATCACAGTATTAAACTACATTGTAGTCGCCTTTGTTAATACAAAGGCGACTACAATGTAGTCGCATTGTACTTATGCAACAAAATAATAACTCAAAATATAGAACTTACTTAATTAGATAATCTTAAATCTATTTACCTACCATGCACCATTTTGCTCTTACTATATATATTTTTTCTTTATTTCTTTACAATAATATACATATGAGATTAGATTTATATGAATCGCTAAATTGAAAAAGGGGACATGTTATGTGAATTTTTGCAGGGCATGTCCTCTTTTTTAAGTTAGCGATTCGTATATTATATAAATAAAATTCAATTTAAATAATGGAGATAATCTTTAAAATAAATGGAGATTATGTTTATAATATTACATTTATTTTTATAAAAAAAAAAAAAAAAGAAAATCATCTTTTTATGCGAGTACTAAGAATTAAGAATCCAAAATTGAAAAAAATTATTCTGTGAAAACAAATCTCAAAGAGGAACTTTAATTTCAATTCCTTTTAAATCAGAGGACTGGTAATGAAAGGGTATTAATAAGAGGGATTATTTTAAAGAATACAAAATAGAGGATTTTGTTGTTCATTTTATTTAACATGATTAAATGTTTGTTTTAACATAGTAGGAAAAAAATGTAAAAATAAAGTAACAAAAAAGAAACGGGGTAAAATAAATAAGTACAAACCGTCGTCCTTAGGTGCAGCTGCAATTGAACAAACAATCGCAAGTAAAATAAATAGATTCATGTTTTTTATTTAGCAAACTATCTTTACCAAAAATAATGCTGTTCTTTAAGCTTACAAAATGCTTCTTTAAGCTTACTCGTGATTTGTAACTTTTTATATTGTTTCCGTTCTAGTTCCCCCGTGTTGTTAGAAACTGTGCTTTAAATGTTTTATATTTCATTTTCACGTCATTATGTTCTTTATTTATTCAACACTGATGTTGTTAGATACCTTTTTTTTTGAAAACTGAAAATTATTTATTTACCATATTTGAAAACGTTTTTTTTTAAATGCTACGAGGTTCTTTAAAGTTGAAAATGATTTATTCATTTAGGTTTCACATGATTATTGAAGAATAGAAGTAGAAATTAGTAAGAATGTATCTATTTAAAAATATGACCAATATAAACGATTTCCGTTAAATAATACGGAATGTTTGAAAATATATAATCGGTTTCAAGTAAAAATTAATATTTCATTGCAAAAAATATTTACAAGTTTATGAAAAATTTTTGTTCAAAAAAAAAATTTAAACGAAAAAGAAAAATTTAAAAGATATTTTATAATATTTTTAAACATTTTTCAAAACGAAAGAACTACCGAAATAAATTTTGAAATCCATTGAAAAAACAAAATATTTATTTCAAGTTTTTGGCAGGAAGAGCAGGAAGAGGATCCTCTTCAAAAATTAATATTAAAAATGCTAATATCTTTTAGAAATTAAATTAAAAATTAAGTTTGAAATTTTTAAGTTAAATTAGATAAGATAAATTAGTCTATTTTCGGTGAATATTTTAAGTAGGTCACTTAAATTTTATTTAAACAAGAAGTATTTAGAAAAATCGTAATGTCAAAATAAATGAATATAGAACAATATTGTAAACGAAGAAAGTTAGATATAATAATAATTTTATATATATATATATATATATATATATATATATATATATATATATATATATATATATATATATATATATATATATATATATATATATATATATATATAACTTTCGAATTGTGGGTGTTCTATTTCTATTCTATTAAACTGTTTTAGATTTTTTATTCTTTGGTCTCATGTTTATTTAATTTTTTTTATTGTTTTTTTTAGGTGCCATAAGTTTTTTTTTAGGTGCCCTTGTCACAGAACACCGCAGAAGTGCATTTAACAAGGATGTTCACGCCGTCTTTCTTACCGCCACGCGATAAGCAAACTAACTTTAATTATAGCTTTAAAACCAGGGCCGTCCCGAAGGGGGTGTCCCCCCCCCCCCCCCAAAGCTGTCATTTAAGCATTTGAGTTGGCACATTGACCAAGTTTTGAACTATAGTTGGCAAATTGCAAATATTGAGGACCCTTTTTTTTTTTTTTAATGTTTCTAGTTGGCAAAAAAAACATACACCCCCCCCCCCCCATAGAAAACCTCTTCGGGACGGCCCTGCTTAAAACCATTGCAAATGAGTATTCAGAATAAGCATTTTTTTGCGCAAGTGATGCGAAATGTTACGAAAACTTGAAGAGAGAAAAAGAAACTCTCTTGCTTACCAAAAAAGTAATTATTGACAATAAAACTCTAACAAGCTATACTAAAACTACAACAATGAATACTTGGAGAAACCCGCGACTAGCATATCCAATGAAAAAATAAAAAAACACGAATTTAACAAAGCACTATTTGAACTAAAGCGTAACAAGTCATTTTGATATGACAACATTACAAATAATGTAGTTATGAATAGTATAAGTAAATCATTATTTTATTTAATTGCATTTTCATTTAAGAATAGTATATTTTCTGATAAATTAAAATCAGACAAAACCATCCAGTTTCTAAAAATGGTGTTTGTTCTTCTGTTTGCAACTACCGTCCTATATCACTACTCCCTGTATTTTCAAAAATATTTGAAAGAGCAATTTTTAATTGAATTTATCATTACATGACATTAAATCCATTTGGATTTCAGAAATACTGCTCTTCAAAACATGCTATTATTGAACTTGCCAATAAAATACTGCTCTACAGAACATGCTATTATTGAACTTGCCAATAAAATACTGCTCTACAGAACATGTTATTATTGAACTTGCCAATAAAATATCTATGTCCTTTGATAAAGAAGAACAAGTACGAGGAGTATTCGATTTCTCTAAGGCTTTTGATACTGTTGATCACGGAATTTTACTTATAAAGCATTACGGCTTTAAAGACCTAATATATAAGTAAGTTAAAAATTATCTTTTTAATAGAAAATAGTATGTTGTCGTGGAGGAGTCGGAGCTCTTGATATTGTATGCGGAGTCTCACAGGGATCGATTTACGGCTTTTATTATTTTCAATATACATTAATGATGTGAGTTAAGCTTCTCATAAAATATCGTCAATTATGTATGCAGACAATACAAATTTATTTTACAACAACTCCGGTGTAAAGATATTGTTCGAAACAATGAACACTGAACTAGAAAGCTTTAACCAATGGTTTATAGCTAATAAATTATCGTTAAATGGTGAAAAAACAAGTTTTACTTTCTTCCATAATATAAGGCAATCAATTAATCTTCCGTTAAAGTTGTCAAAACGCTCAATCAATAAAAATGAAATAAATCGAATAATGAAATAAGCCATACAAGGTTTTTGGGAATAATATTTGATAAAAACCTACCATGGAAAAAGCATATTATTCTCATTGAAATAAAAATATTTTCTGTTATAAGTGTATTGTATAAATCTAGGACCTTTCTTGATTAGAAATCGTGCAAAATGCTTTACTTCAGTCTTGTTTATTGTCATCCTACGCTAATTTTATTTGGGCTAACACATGTCAAACTAAATTAATAAGATTACAGACCACGCAAAGCATTAACTAGTTAAAGAGATTAGAAAACCCTTCCCCTCTAATAAAATACATGAATGTCCTAGATATATCAAAACTTAATTTGCTTCAAATATTAATACTTATGCCTAAATATAAAAATAACTTGCAGCCAAAAGTATTTTCTGATATTTTTACATCGGCTTTTTCACAAAAATACAATCTTTGATCAAATACAAACCATAACTATCACTTGAGCAGAGTAAAATCAAAAGTGTCAAAATTCACAATTATTAACCGAGGCTCGTCATTATGGAATCAATTCAAAAATAACAGTGTAAAAAATTTGAAAAGCACTTACTCTTTTAAACGAAAAAAAAAGCGGCTTCACTGTTTGTCCAATAAAATCCTGCAGTTTAGGATCAACTGCAAGATGGCATCTAACAGAGCGCCATCTTGCAGTTCAAATATAAATGACAACTATTTTGAGCCGGGATAGCTCAGTTTGTTAGAGTGCTACTAAAGTTTGGAATTACTATTGGCCGTAGCAGCAAAGTTACAAGTTCAAATCCCGGCTTCCCCTACTCAGCGTATGAGCAGTACCTCGATCTCGATTAGCTCTGCTATTACGATATTTCTATCTCAACTAGTAAATAACTCTGTAATTCTGAAACACGAACTTTGACGAAAAATACCGCTGCAAAAAGAAACAAGTTGAGAGCAGTACTTCTAGGGACGTGGTGGGGATCGAACTCAGAAGTGCTCGCTTATGAATATTACACCACTACCGCATTTTTTTTAAGTACCTATAAAACGGGTAGTATCTATAAAAGAATATGGAACATCTCTATCGTAAACAAAAGCATGCTATACAAATGATTAATTTTAAAAATAAAAACAAACATTAAAAACATCTTTTTGAACAAATGTCTTTACTAACATTGTTTGAACTAAATGTATATAATGTTCTGTATATTATGTATAAGAGCAAAAGTCAAAGCTGTTCTTCGATTTTCTATAGTTCTTATCAATAAAAGCCAGAGAAATGAGCCTACGAAAGTTATATCTATTGCGCACAAATAGTACTCTGTTTAAGCCTTAATGCAAAAGTAAACTTGAGGAATTTAAAATTATGTATCGCGCGCCTCTCAAACTTCAACTGCTTAAAAATAACTATTAAAAAGAGTATTTTAAAGTATAGAACTTAGCTACTGATTATTTCTCAATTTATTCACTGTTACTTATTTGTATTATTTCTTATTTTTTGGAAAATATAGACCGCCCCAAAAGAGGGGTGACGCACCCAATCAAAGCTATCGTATAAGCATTTGAGTTGACACATTGAGCAAGTTTTGAACTATAGTTGGCAAATTGCAAATATTGAGGACCTTTTTTTTTTATTTATTTTTTTTGGTGTGTCTAGTTGGCGAAAAAATACATACACTCCCCCCAATGGAAGACCTCGCGACGGCCCTGTATATAGGTACATTTTGAACATTGCATTAGCAATAAATGTGTAAATATTTTTTAAAAAATACGATAAATACATTTGCATACGAGTTATTTTTCATTTTAATACCATTAAAATGTAATGATTTTATGTAAAAATTTTGTGAATATAATTTTAAATGAATGGCAATCTAAAGCGGTTCTTGACAATAAGTCTATTTGGTATTATGCAGATACAGCCGTGACGCTGTGATTAGAGATCTGGCTCAGAACCAAGAAGTTTATAGTTCGACGCTGGCTCTAGCTCAATATGTGACATTTGTAAGGACAGAGGCGCAAACTTCATAGTTAAATGCTTTTTCGCGGTGCTCTGTAATATAACCATGAGGACTTCTGGGACCATCTTAATAACCACACACACACAAAAAGTAAATTTATATACTTTTCCCGCGTTCTTTTTACAGTGTTACCGAAGTTTATTTATCATTCATTTAAAATAACTGTCGTGATTTTTAACTTATATATGAATATTCGTTCATAATGAAACTTTATTATGTAATCACAGGGCCGACGACACGGATTTTGAAGTGGGGGGGGGGGGGGCACAATCATAAATTTGTGAAAAAAGTCCTCTATATCTTCAAAAAAATTTCATTAAAAAATCTTTTCGTAAAAAAAAAAAAGGTCCTCTAGAAAAAAAGTGTGTGGAGGAGGGGGCACGTGCACCCTGACCCCCTCTCCCCTTCCGTTGTCGTCGGCCTTGAATCACGATGTTGTAAAATTAAGAAACGAAAAAAAAATTAAATTAATAAAAAATATAAATAAATAACACTATTTTCTTTACTTTTCACTTTTTCACTTTTTTACTCTGTAGCAACTTACTTTCAGAAAAAAGTACAAAAGTTAACTAGTTTGAATAAACTGTAGAATACCCACAATATCACGAATTGTATAATATGTAAAATATTACGACGCGACAAAACCGACACCACTTGCCGTTAAACTATTCAAAAAGATTTATGATAAAATGCAGCTTAAGTATGATTTTAGCTATTCATGATATTGCAACTGCTGATCATGAAGCCTTCAAAAAGATTAGTTGACAACGTTAACAAAATATCAAGCGTTATAGAACAAACAGTCATAAAGTAATAAATCTACAGAAATTATTAATTAATCATTAGATCTGCAGTTTGTTAATCATAAATAAACGAAATAAAATTCAGTTTATATTTGTGGAACACATGAGCAGGCTAATAATTGATAAAGAAATCGATGTAATGAATGCTGTTTATGAAAATTTGCCATAGTTTTGACGCGTTGAAATCTATAGCAGAGCATGTGTCTGTAATAATCTGGATGTTGCCATAGATAGTAGATTCGGTCAGTATATCGTGAAGGCGGAATTAATAGAAGTAGCAATTGTTCATCTAAAAGTTTGGATCAAAGACATCAAACAAAAAAAAAAATTACTCAGAAACTTTTGAAGAACAAAACTTAACAACAGTAACAGCTTGCTTAAAACAGTTACAGCGCAAGTTCAAACTCAGTTTATGAAGCAGCCGTGCCTAAAATTAAAGATAAATTTTTTTAATTTATATTGTTAATGATACTGATAACATTATTGTTACATACATTAGTAGCAGAATTTTATAACTTGGCGACCTTTATTAAGTGTAGCCGGGCAAGTTTTCATGCAAAACCATGATGGAATGACAAAGGGCCTTCTAGCGCCACTGGTGCCCAGGTCAAAAATGGAGAACGGCTTCCTCCCCCTCCCCCAGTTTCAAACGAAGAAATTACAAAACTTTAGGATTTGTGAACACAGAAATGATCTATTTCTGATGCAGCACATTGTATTATAATGTTTTAGCCAAATCTTCTTCAATCACAATAATCGAAAGGTCAGTTACGCGATTCTGGCCTATCATCGAACGGAGAAAGTTTTTTACAATCTTCAGTTTACTAGACGATCGTTCACCCTCAGTAACTGACACAGAAATAGTATAGAAAATCCGGAGCGTGATATAAATTAGTGTGAAAAAAGGCATTTAAGTTTCTTCTTGAAGATTTTGTTGAGTAGCTGTAGTGGATTTCCTTGTTTAAAAATTTTCTTTTCCTAAAAGACAACTTTCTTTCCTAAAGTAGGAAAGTTACATTTAAACTTTTTTTTCAAAATAAATAAACAGGTTGAGGCTTTTAATTGGTTTTAATTGGTTTAATAAAGTTTGGCTTTGGTTTAACGAATAATACTTAAAAACGTAAAATTCTAATAATAAACCGTAAGAAAAAGGACGCATAATAATTTTTTTCTTTTTCGCATACTTAGATTAAAATTAAAATTAAAATTGAGATTCTGTTGCCTCAGTGTCGATAAGTGTTAAAGCATTTCTTAAATTTTTCTTTTTAAATTTTTTAAGTTTAAGTTTTTCAAAAACTTTGAGGAGCCAATACAAAATACTAAAATATATTTTAGCACTTTGTATTGATTCCTCTATAGTTTGTCATTTAATAGAGTTGTTTGATGAAGCTCTCAGAGTAATCAGAGTTTAAAAGTTGACATATTAAAAAATCTTGTAAATCTCGTTTTGTCAAATATGAGCTTTTGGTTTTGTCTCGTTTTGTCAAATATGAGCTTTTGGTTTTGTCTCGTTTTGTCAAATATGAGCTTTTGGTTTATTATGATGTTTATATTAGTAGTTATAATTATGATAATTATGATAAGTTATTTAACTCTTTTCTTCAAAATTATATTGGTAATAACAGTATCAATAAAAAATCAAAAAGCTATGTAATTTTTGTTATATACCACAACTTTTTATTTCAAATTTGAGTAGATAGTGTTCAAAAATTTACAAAAATCATGCTTTTTATAAAGATAATAAATCTAATCGAAAATTGGGACGTGTTGGAAAAAAAGTTAAACGATGGAAAATATCAAACGAAGCTTACGTTAATCGAAAACACGAAAGAAATTCAGCGTTAAAAAAAAATAAAAAAAATAACTTTATTTACATATATCTTTTAAATAAACAAAGTCTTGACATAATTTTTTATTTAAATGTTTGATTTTACTACTACTGCTACTACTACTACTGATTGGTAGTAGTAGTAGTAGTTGTAGCAGTAGTAGTAGTAGTAGTAGTAGTAGTAGTAGTAGTAGTAGTAGTAGTAGTAGTAGTAGTAGTAGTAGTAGTAGTAGTAGTAGTAGTAGTAGTAGTAGTAGTAGTAGTAGTAGCAGTAGTAGTAGTGCTCATTCGAGCGTGTTTGACACGAAACCCTTGGCAGCCATTGCAACTGAGGTAGTGTCGAGTGAGAGTTGCAGCACTTTGTCTTTTGAGAAAATGTGAACGAACGTGTATGCAAGTTTTTAATGTATGTAAACTTTAAATTAAGTAATGTGAAAACATACTGAAACATTTATCAAGTTTTACAGTTTGATTTTCACTTAAAAATTGCATTGTGTCAAGCTCTCCTTAACTTTGATGTACAGCATATTTTTCCGTAAAAACGTCATTAAATAGTTTTAGAAATTTTTGTTCACCAACGCCGAGTGGATAGCGCGCTTAGCTTCTGAACAAATAAGTCCTGGTTCGAGTCTTACCATTGAAAACTTTTTTTTTAATTTTTTTTCGACTATTTTAAAATACAAAATACTTTTGAAGTTTTATAGAGTGTTTATAAAAACATATGTAACGATATTATACACTTAAACGAACGAAAAGATTTTTAAAAAAGTATTATGAATAATGTAAAAAGACTAGAGATTCTTGGCCTCATCCTTGGCCTCATCCTCATTCTTGGCTTAGAGATTCTTGGCCTCATCATTATATGAGCGCAGAATTCGTGAAGATTTGATCCAGACTTATAAATTATTAAATAAGATGGAAAATGTGGACTTTATAAACGGTTTCAAGCCAAATGATTTTCAATTATTTATTAAACTTTATTACTCTTTTATTCATAGTTATATAAGTTATGGAGTTATTGCCTGGGGTAGCACAAATCAAAACAAGTTACAATGTCTCTATCGCCGTCAGAAACATGCGATCCGTTTAATTAATTCTGCGGATCGGTTCGCACATTCCTCAATATTTTTTAATCAAATGAAAATACTCGATATATATAAACTAAACGTATATAAAAATTTATCTTTTGTTTACATGTGGAAGTATGATTTATCTCCTTTAATTTTTAAAGACCTTTTTATTTTGAAACCATTAAGCAAGTTTAACATGAGAAATAATAGTTATTTAAATGAACCAATGAAATGAACCAATGAAATGAACCAATGAAATGAACCAATGAAATGAACCAATGAAATGAACCAATGAAATGAACCAATGAAATGAACCAATGAAATGAACCAATGAAATGAACCAATGAAATGAACCAATGAAATGAACCACTCTGTCGAACAAAGTTCAATCAATTTTGTATCACTTATCGTGCAGCTCATCTCTGGAACAATATTATTTTGCCCAACTTCGACTTACCACTAACTTACCATGTTTTCAAAAATAAATTAAAAGATCTCATTCTCTCTATTGAAAATATCTTATATATATTTTTAATATATATAAGATATTTTATAAGAATATTTTTAATTTATCTTGTGATAAAAAAATAATTTTTATTTTCAAGTTTTGTTTTATACTTATTTACGATTTATTTTTATTTATCTAAGTACGATCTAATGTTTTTAATTTATTTTTACGTGCTCATTGTAATAACGTTTTTATTTATTTTTTTTAATAATATTTTGCGTACTCTCTTTTGTAAAAGGCTTCTGACGATAAGATCATTGTGATCTTCTTTTAGAAGCCTTGTTTGTATTTCAGAAATATGTAATTTATATATATTATGTCAAATGTAAACAAAAAAAAAAAAAAAAAATTATCGAGAGGAAACGGTGTCAGGTTTGAACGCAAAAAACAAAGCGCAACTTAAGACACTCATACTTTACTAACAGAATAACAAAAACATGGAATAAACTACCAAGAGAAGTGGTTAATGCAAAATTAGTCAACAGTTTTAAAGCACAATTAGACAATTGGCTCCTTTTAAATTAAATTATTAGTGACACGGCTGTCTAAGTATGATATTAATACACACAGTCGTCTTCTTCGGGCGGCTACAGCATCTACTGTTACTATTACTATGACTATATATTTTTAAAAACATCAAAACACGGGTAGAAAAAAATTGTTGCGTAAGTGTCATGATTGAGATACTTAGGTTAATAACGTGCTCAGGTAATTAGTTCTAATACGATGCGGATGGTTTGAAAAAAAAGTTTTCCAAAACTTTTTTTTTTTTTTTTTTTTTTTTTTTTGTATTTATTTAGGTGCTCCCAGAAGTCTTTACGGTCTTATCATAGAGCACCGCGGGAGAGCATTTAACAGGAAGTTCACGCCTCCTTCCGTACCAATGTCACTTGTTGGGCTAGAGCTGGCGTCGATAAAAAAATAAAAAAATAAAAACTTTTTAAATAGTTCTGCTACTCCAGAAAGCGCTGCAAAAAAAAAAAACCGTAGTTAGAAAAAAATTTAAAATTTTCTTTTGACATTAAATAGTTTTTTTTGGCTACATTTATTTTTTTACAATAAGTATGTGCTACAACTGTTTTTCAAAACGCCTTAATATGCTTATTACGTATTTCGAGAGAAAAAAAGATTATTAAATAGAGATGGTTAAGCGCAAACAATGTTTATATAAACTCTTTGTAAAACGTTTCTTAAAGCAAATAATTTTGATGAACTTTTTCAGAACTTCTTGAAAATATGTATTCAATAACGTTTGTAGACAAAACCAAAAAAACAAAGCTTATTTTGTAAAAAAATTAAAAATAATATTTTTTACCTTAAGGCTTTTTGAAAAACGGCTGCAGTATGGATGATTCAACGAATATGTTGAGATGAGGTAATTTGACGCAAAATTTTAAAGTTCTTAACAAAAGCCACTAAACCAAAAGAATTAAAAGTAATTGCAGTTCAGTGCTTAAAAATTTTAAGTATTGGTGTTAGCAAAGAAACATTATATAAACGAAGAAACATTATATAAATTATTTTTTAATTATAAAACTAACTTACTTTAAACTTTGTTGAATTAGGCAGGTTTGGCGCCTAACCATCCCTATATAAACAATTTATATAAAAAAATATGTTATTTGTTTATATATATATTGTTTATAAAATGTAAAAAACCCACTTATAAAACGTTTTATTAAGGATTGTATGGAACATAAGTAAACTTTTCTAATAATTACTAGTCTTTTTATCTCTAGCAGTTTTGTTTTGATGTTTAAGTAGGCTAAGTGATTAGTAGGTATGTTATATTTAAAATATTAAGTAAAATAATATATAAATAAATTGACAATAATAAAAAATAATAAATAAATTGACAAGATTGAAAAACCACAAAACAACTGTCACTTCCAAATGGAAAATTTGAAACTTCAAACTTTTTTAGATTTGCTCCTCTTTTAATAATTTCTGATTGCTAAAATTATGTCATCTGCTTCTTAGACCTTTAAAAATGATAGTCATAGAAATAAGATTTTGTTCATTTTTTTAAAAAAACTCTATTAAAGTCATATGCAATATATTTGTGGGATATATTCTAATAAAGTCAAAAAATATTTATTTATTTCTATTGTAATAAATACAATCTCCTATCCGTGAAAATAATATATCTGTACCAGTTTTATATATTTTTATGCATTTGTATGCAACATAATAAAAATTAATATAAAAAATGTAAGATAAATGCAAAAGGAAACTTGACGCATAAAGGTTTATTTTGCCACTAACTGACATCAATGCCCAAAATCTTTTTGGCTTAACTTTTAGATAAGCGTTTAATATTATTCTTAAGTATTAATTTATTTTATAACTATGGTTTAGTGTTCGATCTCCTTAGATCTTCTTAATTCCATCTGTATAGCGTTACGTACAAACGTAAGCAAGTGTAAACGTTTTTAGCATATGTTGAGTTTGCAGGCATTATATGGAATAATCGCGTATATCTATATATCTATAAAATAAGAAAACTTGAAAATTTTATTTTAAATTTTAGAAATCTTTGTTTCTATATTATTATTTTTTTGCTAGGAATATACAAATGAATATATAAGTAAGATTGAAAAAACTTCACAATTCATTACGCTAAGAGGAGGTCTTAAACCCTCCAAAACAACACTGATGACAGCGCATTTTACCACTGAGCTAATAATGAAACGCATTTAACAGGAAAAAAAAAACTTAATTATAAGTCTCTTATAAGCTCTACGGAAAAGGTGCACAAGTTAAGTTTTTTGCTTTTAAATTTTTTTTTAAATAAATTATTTTACTAAAAAATATTGAAGTAAATATATTTATAAGGATATTATGACATATATATTTATAAGGATTATACCTATTCCTTATAAGGAATAGGTATAAAAATAATCGGCGAGGAATAGATATGTAAATTGGTCAAGATCTGTGTTTTACGGATCCGGAAAGCTAGGATATATAAGGAAAAAGTATAGAAAAGTTCAATTTGGAATAGATATACAAAGACCCGTATTTTTACGGGTCCGATCTCAGCTAGTTTAAATGAATTCAAAACACGCTTAAACAACACGTCGACGTAGTTTAGTGCATCGTAACATTTCTATCTTAACCGCTTTGACACTATATGTATAAACACATTGAGTAACTACTCTGTCTAGTTAGTTTAGTTAGTTATATGATAAACACACAAAGTTTTTTTTTTTTTTTTTCTCAAACAAAATAATTTCGCAATTTATATTCATGCGGTATCCGTGTGAACAAAAACTAATCTTTTCAAGCAAGCAAAGTATAAGAAAAAACAAAATTTTTACATTAATATATTTTTTCATTTAATATATTGTCTTTTTCTTGCTTTGTAAAAACAAAGTTTTAATTTCAATTTAATTTTTTATTAAAAATTTAATTACTGTTTAAATGAAGTTGATCGAGAAAGGAGTCGGTTAAATTCCTGTTATATGATTTATTATTTTATTAATTGTTTACTCTTAGTATTTAATTATAGTTATTTATTATTGATGTGAAGGTTGTTGTCCAATCACATAATTTATTAATAGATGTATTCTTATATATAGTTATTAATGTATCTTAATATAGTTATTAATTTTTTTTTGAGTAATTTTTTTTTCTATTGTCAATTTAGAACAAACAATCAGTATGTTAAGTTTTTTGTTGTTAAGATGTTTAATCAATTAAAAATATTTATGTGGATTATTAGTTTTGATCCAATACGATCCAATTACAAACCTGCAAGTGCAAACTTGTTCTGTATAATGGCAGAGTAGAAAAGGGTTAGTAAACAAAAAAATGACTTAATTTACACTATTACTTACTGGAAAGATGATGAAACTGATATTGAGGCTGTTGACTATTGTATGAAAAAGATCCAACTTGCTGCAGATGTTGTCTCTGGAGAATTTTAATATTATTAATTTCACTCCCCACAAATTGCAAAAACTCATTGTAAGTGCAGTAACTTGCAAAAACTCATTGTAAGTGCAGTGACTTGCAAAAACTCATTGTAAGTGCAGTGACTTGCAAAAACTCATTGTAAGTGCAGTGACTTGCAAAAACTCATTGTAAGTGCAATGACTTGCAAAAACTCATTGTAAGTGCAGTGACTTGCAAAAACTCATTGTAAGTGCTATGACTTCCAAAAGTTCATCACAATGGCTTCGACTTGCTAAAGTTCACCGCAATTGCTGTAATTTGAAAAAGTTCTTCGCAGTTGCTGTGACTTGCAAAAACTCATTGCAAGTGCTGTGGCTTGCAAAACCTTGTTGTAAGTTTTGTGACTTGAAAAAATTGCAAAATTGCTGATTTTCATGTTTTTATCTTAACTGCCATAGGGAGACCGTCTTGTTTTAGTGGTAAAATATCGTAAGCGTGAGCATTACAGAAAGTAACGTCAAATATCAATTTTAAAAATAAAAAAAGCTGTTTCTTAACAGAAAAAGAAATTTAATAACTTCATTTGTCTCTCCCGTAAATTTTTCAAATGTGAGTTACGATAGTTGAGGTACAGATATATTGAGGTACAGATATATTCTTTTACTTATGTATAATTGTAAAATATACATCTAACATGCTTCTCTAATGAAATTTAACTACAACTGCGTTGAAATATTTGTTTATGCAGTTATTCTCCTATTCAATGCAGTTATTCTCCTGCGGAGATAATAAGATTTATAAAAGATTTAAGCGTAAATGTAATTAATTATAAGAGAGAAAACTACTATATATGTACGAGCAAGCCACGAAATAATGAAAAATTAAAAAAAACTATGAATCGCGAGTTGTTGATTTTTCTGTACATACAAACACCATACAGGTGGTTGCACCCCAAAAGCCACGCGAAAGTAGGAGGGTCTAGATTTATTTTCTAGGGACAGATCATAATTTTGTTAATATGGGTTCTGAAAGATAAGCCTAAATAGGGTTCTTCCTGGTAGGTATGGTTTTTTAAGTCTCGCTTGAGTTCTTTTTCTAGAATGTTGAAGTTAACCACACTTTTTTTCATGCACCCCAAAAACAACATTGACAAAATTGGCTATAAAATCTAAACTATTTGGAATTAAGACCTGATTTTTTGTAGAAGATAGTTATAATAAATTAGTCTTAGGATGATTGTATCATTGCTAACTTAAATTTTTAGGATGTACTTCAATGTACCACAAAAACCACATCATGTGCACCCCAAAAACCACGTTGGTTATTTGAATATTTTAGAAAATATATAAAATAATTCAATAAAAAAATTTTAGGATGTACTCTAAGATAGTAGCTCTTTGTCATCATAAAAAAAAAAAAAAAAAAAGTTAATGTATTGTGGAAATACTACCATTGAACTATGTTATGTTTTTTGTTGTTTTAGAATTTTGTTTAATATAATATTATAAAGTAAAATGAAACCATCATCTGCATTACATCAACGTATAAACAAATCAAGAAATCTCAGTACTAAAGCTGATGCCATAGTGCCCAGAAAACACACAAATGATAAAAAGAAACAGTTAGAAGCTGCAATAAATTGGTGCAAAAAATTTAATGGAAGGGGACAAGCAGCATTAAAGACAGGTTTGTTTCCCCTTATTAAAGATAGAGAGACAATCAACAGGCGATTAGATGGAAAAGTGATTAATGGAAAAGAAAGAGATTATTGTACTATACTTACAGATGATGAAGAAGCGTCTATTGTGCGTTTTATAAAAAATAAGAACAGATGTTTACAGGCAATTAACAAACAGGACATAACCAAATTAATTATTAATGTGCTTCGTGTGAGAGATTACACTAATACAAAAATGAAAGGTGGACGGAAGTTTCAAAAGTTATCATTAAATGCTCGAGCTGCTCTAGAAAAGGGAAAGTAAGTTTAATTGAATTCATTTAATCTACAATGATCCTATAAAAGTATGTAAGACGGGTAATATGACTCTTTTCTTTATGTAAATATTCCATTTTATAGATTGAGTCGATCATTTTGGCTTCGTTTTAATGCTAAACATAGCAGCCTTACAATCAAACGCCAAGGGAGTGTCTCGATAAACCGTGCACTTAATTGTTCAAGAGAAATGGCATGTAATCATTTAGGTAAGTTATTAATGAACAAATATAAATTCATAAATCTGAATGTACTTTTTTTTTTTAATTTGTTCATTTCCCTATAATAACATTATTTCAGATTCCCTTGCTAAAGAACTAGTAGATGTTGGTATTATGATAAATGAAAAAATGATTGAAACAGGGGTTTGGAATGGCACTGTTGATACATACCGAATATTTAATTGAGATGAAACACCCCAGTTTATTAATTATGGAATTGATGATACCACTTCTGGATTATTTTATGCTGGCAAAGGAGATGCATGTCAAAGAATGTATAGAGAAAACAGAAAATGTGTCACAATTCAACCATTTGTTTCATTTTCAGGTATGCTATAATATGTTATGGTTCAAGAAAAAATTGAATATAAATAAATACAAGCATTAAAAAACTTTTTTATTTTTTATTTTTAGGCGACATATGTATGTGTCAGGTAATATTTAAATGTACTGGTATTACTAGTTCTATGGTTCCAACAGAAGCAGTAAATAAAATTCCCCATTTGTTGGTCACAACTACAGATAATGGAGTATCAACCCATGAATCTTTCTTGGCAGCATTGAAAGAGTTTGATGTCTACTTAAATGAAAAAAATGTTAAGCGACCCATCGTCTTATTATCAGATGGACATAGCTCTAGACTAGACTTTGATGTATCATCTTTTTTGGAGTCCAAAAGAATTCATCTTTTTCTTACTCCACCAGACACAACAGGAGTTACTCAACTTCTTGACCAAGTAAACAAGAACATTCATAGTGAGTATCGTAAGCAAAAAGACTCTATGTTTTCTGATATCTGTTCCTTAAACAAAGAAGCTTTTATGTTAGTTTTAGCTAATATATGGGACAAGTGGACAACCAAAGAAACGCTTGTAAAATCTGCTAAAAGGGTTGGTGTTGCCGAAAATGCATTGAGTGTTGATTTTATGCAAAAAGACAAATTCGAACGAGCAGAAAACTGTATTGAACCAGAAAAACAGACTTCTCCACTAATTTCTTCGCCGGATAAAAGACGTGGTTCAGCAAATTATTGGAAATCAAAATTTGAACAAGCGATGGAGTTGATTGATGAACTTCATGAAAAGAGCATTCAGCTGGAAGAAATACCTGGTTTTATGACAACCAAATGTTGATGTTTTTATGACAACCAAATGTTGACTTTCAAATAGAGTTATTACAAGATGTAATAACTCTAGTTGAAAGCATAAAAAGAAAAAAAGAAAAAGAAAAGGAAAAAAAAGAAAATGCTGCAAAAAAGAAAGAGGAAGTTACAAGACTCTTTATAACATGTAAGCTTCAATGCTATTGCGAGGAGATAAAATGTAAAGCTTTTGGCTTAAAGCAGTGTCCAACCTGCCTCAATATAATGCGGTCCATTTGCAGCAAAGCAAACTGCAAAGTAAATGGAAAAAACCCAGAAATGATTTTATCTGCAGCTGCTAGAAAGAAATAACTGTGATATTCAAAATCTTTTTTATTGAATGAACTATTTGTTTTAAATTTGTTGTAAAGACTTGTTCTGGATAAACTTTTTTTTTTTAACTTTTTCTTAGCGCACCCCAAAAACCACATGTTAAAATGTAATTTTTAAACTTTTTTTTACAAGTTTCCCTTCTACTTATAATAAAAATGGTTTGATTTATGTAAATAGCATATAAATATAAGCAAACTATATGGGATTTGCAAACTTAGTCTAAAAAACCAATATTTTATAGCAATATTACTTAAAACTCAATTATTTTTCTCAGCACTTTTTAAGTTTAAAACGGTTGTAAAAAAAACTCCTTTATTGTTAATATTGATTTCTTTTGTTTTGTTGCTGAAACATTCCTTTATGAGAAAAAATTTCTCATATGGTTTTAAAATGCATATTTAAATTTTTAGAGCCTTTTAACTGACCGCGTTGTTTTTGAGGTGCCTTGGTTTTTGGGGTGCATCTACCTGTAACGCATAGCTTTATGGGGAAAGGTAAAATGCGCCATTTTGTAAGGTACACATGGAGTTTCTCAATACATTACCGGTCAACGCTAATAGCCAGTTAACTACAAATCGATCGTTTGATAAATGATATTTCAAAATAATCTTTGTTTAAGAGGCGTGATAACTCCTCTTAAAGGTGACCCTAATAATTTTCGCATTAGTGGCGAAATACATTTAAATAAAACTTTTTTATCATAAAGATGATAAAAAAGTTTTATTTATATGTATTTCGCCACTAATGCGAAAATTATTAGGGTCACCGAGACACATAAGCCTTGAAGTCCATATATGTTTATTTGTCTAAAATTTAGAGTGATTCCCAAAGTGGTCTATATAGACCCCAGGGGTTTATGACAACTTGCAAGGGCTTTATGTCAGCGAAAAACTAAACTTAACAATAGTTAGAAATTTGCAAAAAATAAATATCAGGTAAGTATGGGGTCCCTACTTACCTGATATTTATTTTATAAAACCGAAAAACATGGTAAGGGGATCTAAATAATTTCTTAGACAAAAAAAACAAACGATTTCTTCTAAATTACAAATCAGTCCAATAAAGTCCAGTAAAGTTTTTAAAATTCGGACGAAAGAGGAAAAAACATAAATATTTTCACGCTTCCTCCTACTTGAGTATTAAATTTCAACATAAATACACATATTACTAAAATAAACAAAATTAATTTAAAAATATTTTCGGTTCTTATTGAATAGTTAAGCTTTTAAGAATAACTAGCTAAGCTGAAATCAACTGACACCAAGATGCTTGAAGAATGGGAACATATAACGAAACTTTAGAAAATTATCAGGCAAATGAAATTGTGCAATATTAGTTCTTCATTCAACTTATTTGTTTTGCAACACTTCGACGGTTGTATTTCTTTCATAGTAGCAGTGATCGTTGTACTTGATGGATAACAGCTTTTGATATTTCTAAATTAAAAGAAAAAAAAAAAAAATAGATTTATAACAGATAAGCTTGAAATTTTATACATGTATGGCACTTCTAAAATTTTTTACTAGCTAAATAATTTTTTGCTTTTTTTTAAAAATAGATTTGTATAGTAATTTCATATTAATTTATATTTCCTTTCAAAAAGGTACACTATAAAAAGTAATAGTATAAAAAAAATAACTAAAGAAATACAAAATATTAGATGCTATTTATGTAGGTTAAAAAAAAATCTCAATGTATAAACAATGTAAACTGCAGTCCATGTAACTGTGCAAATATGATTTTGACTGGGATCAACAGAGATTTTGTTTAGTTTTAGCTGTGATATTTATTGATAAGATATTATAACCATGAATACAAATAAATATCATTTTAAACTTCCGATCTGTTTAAAAATAATCCAGGCCTTTTCAATTCTTTTCAATTTAGAAATTTATTAATTTTTTTTTGCACATTATTGCCAGATTTTATATTCTCTTTACCTTAATAAATTAAGTTCTACAAACAAAAATGAAAATTTCTACTCAAACAGGAGGTATCAAGGATACTGAATTCAAAAATGTAATATAAAATAATGAAATTAAACAATTTTTGAGCCATTTTTTATATTTTAAAATAATCAACAAATTTCCTGTTCTTTTTTAGTTGTTATATTTCTAGAGATATGTATTTAAAGTCTACTATAACATTTAGATGACAAAACAGTGTATCTTTTGACTAAACTAACTGTTTTTTTCATGTTGTTGTTCTTTTATTAGTGCTCGTTTCTTTTGTTTTATATTTTACTAAACTATTTCTTCCTATACTCTCTCTAAACAAGCTTTTTTTACACTCAAAACATTTGGCAATGCCATATTTGTTGTGTTGCTCACAAGAGAGTTTTTTAACCAATTCATTGAGATCAAACTATATAACAAGGCTGTTTTTATTTTTGTAATTACAAGGCTGTTTTTATTTTTGCAATTACATCAGTATTAACTGCATAAGATTCTAACTTGGAATGGGACGAGACTTATTTATATTTTATAATATACTATATCATTTTTAAAAATTAAGTTCGGATTATTTATCAAGTGTTTAAATTTATCAATATTTTAAAAAATGGTTCAATGAACTTTTATTTTATAAAATGTATACAAAAAAACAACATTAAAAATTCATTATTTACAAAATTAAAAAGTTTTAAATCATGAACTTGAGATGTTTTTTGATTGGCTGTTAATGTCAACAATTTTTAGTTCTTCAACTCAGAATTAAATTATTATTTTATGTAAGTAATACTGTATTTACTATAATAACAGTAATAAAATTATTGGTAACTTTTAAATGAGGGTGTATTCCAAGAATCCCCTTACAATCAGTAAGCAAAAAAAAGACCTTATGCATAATAAGTTTTATTGAATACCACACCCTAACCTAACTCTGGTAATGCTGCAGAATAGTGGCGTAAAACAATTTTATTTTTCGCTTGTTGCGCTTTCGTGTTGTTGATATGCTTAAAGTGGAGACTTTTTAATATAAACAAATGGAGTATTTAATGGCTTAAGTACATTGACTATAACAATGGCTTAAGTACATCGACTATCTTATGGTCTGCTGCTACAAGGAAGTGCTGCTACATCGACTGAGGGTTTGGCATGGGGCAGCAATCTTTTTTCTTTTATTATTTTAATTGATATTCCGAATGTTTAAAAAGCCTCCACTGACGAGAGCCCACCAAGCGAAAAAATAAAATTATTTTATGCCACTATTCTGCATCATTACCTTAAACTCAGGCCTTTAGGATCAGGGTTTGGTTAGGGTACAGTTTTTAATAAAATAACCTTTATGATTACGGTCAGCCTTGGACTACAGTTTTCAATGGTACTCAATTTGTTTTATTATAGACTTATTAAAAGAGGCCAAAGTAAACATCCACAAATTTTTGCAACACTACTTGTTATCAAACTATCCTGTTAAAACGACCTTATATTTTTATCACGTTGAATGTTTTATAGTATTGATGATATCAAGATTATTAAATATTCATTTTATGAAATAAAATATTGATTCATTTTATGAGTTTCATGAAATAAAAAATGTTATTTAACTAAAGAGTACTACTAAAATTTGTAAAATGTGAGAAAAAAACACAAAAAAAGTCACAGGAGCTAATGCTAAAATATAAAACAGTTTAAATAGAGTACATTAAATAATATTCTTACAAAAATATTAAAAATCGATTGCAAAGAAAACGTTAAGCTAAAAACTCATAAATTTTTTAACTTTACGTTTCAAATAAAAAACTACAACACAAAATTACAAAAAAAAACTTACGTTATTTTCTTATGATAGAAAAATTCAATTATTGTTGAGATTTATGCGCTTCTCTTCTCACTCAAGCTTTACAAATTTTTACTAAATGATTAGGGCATTACAAATTTTTACTGAATGAATTAACTTGGCGCTGCTCGACACGTCGAGATTTAATTTGATTGGTGAAATAAATTTTTTTATCCCAGGGTCGTCCATAAATTACGCAACGTTAAACTTATTTAAAAAATAGAAGTAGGAGATCATTTTGCTCTTTAGCGCGGCGATTTTTATAAGCTATTTATATACTTGTTTTAATTAAAGACTCTGCGAAAGAAAAATTTTGATCTTTTTTGTTTGGTTTTATCAGTTAAATTTAGCGTTGCGTAATTTATGGACAATCATGTGACTTAACTACCTCATGTGATTTAAACTACCGCAAACCGTTTAGTTTGTTACTATTTTTAATTAGAAGTTTAGAAATTAGAAATTTCTAAACTTCAAAGACCGCGAACTAATTCGAAATAATAAAACAAAAAAAATGAAATGCTGAAATATAATAACTTCATTGATATCTTATCTCAGATTTTAACTAACGATTAGCTTAACTATATAACAAAAACTTAAAATTCCAAAATAAGTTTAAGAAAAACGTCATATATCACCTCGTGATTTTAAAATCAAATTCTTTTTTTTTTTTAAACATAAAAAAGAAACGTTAAAACATAGAAAAATCGAGAGAATTGTTACATAACTCAGTTTGCACGTTTAACATCATGAAACATGAAACTCCCGGCGCGATGAGGGGGGGGTGACACCCCCATCAACGACTTCTTCGCTCATTTAGTCGACAAATGTAGACCCTTTCGAAAAGTTAGTCAGTAAATTTAGAAACTTAGTCGGCAAATGTTGTTATGGCAGTCGGCAAATTTTAAAAAACGAGGACTTTTTTTTTATTTTTTTATTTTAGTCGGCAAAAGTTGTACGTAACACCTACACGCGCCGGCCCCGGGTATGACGTTTCTATTTTTTGCCGAATAATGCTTAGAAATTTTTTTGCCGGTTAAGATCTTTTTAGTAAAAAAAAATCTATCTTGATATAAATCAATCACAAACGCTTGTTAACTTGCAAAGAAATAAGCCAACTTCAAAGAAGTCCTAAAAAAAGTTGAGGGCTAGGTGTTTACATAAAGCCGGGTGAATAAAAATGAGCAATTGCTTTTACTCGGAGTTTTTAGAGTAATTGCTCAAACTACGTGAATAAAAATTTTGAGCAATTGTTTTTTTTTTTTGCGCAAAAGCTCAAACTCAGAGCAATTGCTCATATAAGAGAAAAAGGCGTGCATAAAAAAGCTTTAACTTTATAAAACAGCGAGCAATTCCTTCAAATTTTACGAGCACCTATAATATGTATATATATATATATATATATATATATATATATATATATATATATATATATATATATATATATATATATATATATATATATATATATATATATATATATATATATATATATATATATATATATATATATTATTGATAATTGGACAATCATTTTATTATTTTACAACATTATTTTAATATTTTTGACTATATATATATATGGGCAATTCCACGACGGAAAATGAAAAACTATTGAAATTTTATTATCTTTTTTGTCAACTTTAAGCAAATGAATATTGATGTAGAAACATGAAAGATTATTTAAAATATACCTTTAATACTAAAATTAATTTATTTAAGTCATTTTTATGCTTCCAAAAATTACGGTTTTTCTTATTGTCGCATGATAAAAAAAAGTATCATTGTAAAATTTTATTATTACAAAGAGTTTATTTGCATAATTGGAATTAATTTAACATAAAAATAGAGCTAACATGCTGTCAAACTGCTGTTGGTCAGATTTTATACTTATTAAAATATATATGTTTCAAGAAAATAAGGAAAGAACTTTTAAAATTTTCATATAACGTAAGTTAACAAAAACATGATAAAGTTTTGCTTTTTCTAAAATTTAGTTTAAAAACTTAAGTTTTTTAATAAGATATGCGAAAGAACATTAAATGATTTTTACATTTAAAGTTTTGAATAACGATGCTTAGTTTAAAGCACATTTTTATTTTAAATTTGTGTAACGTAAGTTAAAACTACATGGATTTACTAAAGCAAAATGAATTACGTCATTAAGTAATTACTATTTCGTCACGTTAGTTTGACAAGGTTATGACAAGTTATAACTTTCGTGTTGACAAGGTTATAACTAAATCTTTTTATATTAAGACAATTTAGAATAAAAATCTTTTTTTTGTTGTTGTTGTTAAAATTATTTATATTATTGTTTTATTATTTGTTTACGCATTCTTATTTTGGTTGGCATATAAATATACATAAATAAATAAAAATAAGATCTATATAAATATTTTTATTTGGACATTAAAAAAAAGAAGATTTATTTGCTATTCTTCTAATATAAAGAAAAAAAACGGGGGGGGGGGTCATCCATAAAGCACGTTGCCCTATATTTGGCAATTCTTAACCCCTTCCCTCTTGTCCCATATACCTGAATCCCCTTTCCTTCAAAAACTGTGATAGTAGTTTTTACGTCAAAAAAACTTTTTATAGATTTAAATATAAATATTTTTAAAGATTCAACCTAATGAAAATAAGACAATACGATAAAAGAATTGTAAATTAAAACTTCATCAAACCAAAGATTTTCATATTTATATGGCTTAAATAAGTATTCATAAAGTTGTAATACCAAGGACGTTTTAATTGACGTTTAACGACGGACGCACTGTTAGATCAAAGGCGCCGCAAATTACTGAAATTCTATGCGGGTTGAATTCGTGGCGTCGTTTTTTGAAATAATTTTTCAAAAACTTCTTTCAGTAAATGTTTTTACTCGTAAAATCCTAACTTTTGCAAAACATAAATGCATTTTACGTAATTAAGAATGTCTCATGTATTTGAAAACATTTTAATTAATATGCAAGCTTTGTTTAATAATAACTTATTTGTAAAAAAACTTTGACGTCAAAAATAATATTTTTGTAAAAATACAATATGTGATATACTAAAATAAATATTGTAAAGTCAATATATCATTCATTTATTGAAGTAGAGATTGTTGGCAACCATTACACCTTGCATTTAGATTTCGCTAAATTTCTTAAAGATTTAAACTTCTCTTTTTTGACGGAAATTAAATCGTTTTTAGTCTCACAACTTTGCTTTGATACTTTTCTGTAAATAAAATTTTTTTTAAAGTAAAGTTTTTGAATAACCATATGAAACTTTTTGTTATATAGTTTATATACAGGATTATACAAGGGTGATTGAATATATAGAATATTTTTTAACAAAATAGTAAAACATATTTACTACAATACTTTACATAATAAAGTGTTTTTTTTTAATTGGATTGATGAGACAGTTATCATTTCGAAGAACAATAGTATAAAAGTATTTCTACGTGACGCAAATGTTTCAGCTGATGTTATTTATAACGATTGCAAGCGCGTTTATCTTGGCTTTAAACCCGACAACAGTCCATGCCGTAATATTACGCAAACTAAAAGTGGTTTCTAAATGTCCATGCCGTAATATTACGATTTTGTGCATCTCTTTATATTTTCTATTATATTTCTTTATATTTTATCAGTGGTTTCACAATCTTTTTCAGAAAGTTATTATAATATAATACTACGTTTCCATAACGGCGAAGCCATTAATGTTTTAACTGGTATTTATGGTAAATAGTAATAGTTAATTTCACGGAATTAAAATCATTTTTGATACGTATTGTTGTAGACTACGTCTTCCAAGATAAGTAGCAAAAATTAGCGGTTGTATCTTAATATTAACATTTATATATTGATAATGATGCGGTCTTCTTAAAGATACTGAATAATTACGCCAACGTAATTTTAAAGTTAATAATATAATATTTTGTGGTTTTAAATTTTATATAAAAAATGGATGATATTTGTAAGTAAGAATCTATGTAAATAGATTCGCAGTCATATGTAAATAAAACAAAATAAACAAACAAGTGAATTCATTAGTATCACTGGGAAACGCTTAAATAATTCCCCACACTAAAAGGTGGCGACCCTACCAGGACCAAAGGAACCTACAAATAATCGAAATGGATCAAGAGCAAAATTATCAGAGGGAGATCAACATGTTGAATATAAACATTAAATGCATAGAACGCAACACCGCAAGCAGCGACAAATCGAGCATAATCTTGGCTTTAGACAAAATAACAAATTTGTTGGTAAGATTTGAAATGGCAAAAGATGAGCTGACCAGAAAAATGCTGGATTAGGCACTTCAACATTTTTTTTTTTAAATGTAAGATGAAAACAAAACAAACTCCGTAAGTTAGAGCTAAACATGATCAGTTAAAAAATAACAAACTTATCGTTATATTATTATTAGTTGAAAACTTATTGAACTTTTAAACCACAAAATTTAAGATTTTTTTTGTATGACTTTTGAGGTTTTTAGTGACTTAACGTTTTTAAGAATCGCGACAACGTTTCCAAAGTAATAATAAACAAGACCGTTACTATTCAAAACTAAGAATATAATACCAATAAAAACTATAGTAAATGAACTTTTAATGAATAGGAAACAACCTACATTTAACATAATAAATCTGTGACAGTACTTTTTTAAAAAAAAAATTATTTAATGGTAATGCAAAATAGGTTTTCCAAAATAATAAACTGGTTTTAAAAACTTAATTTCCGTCTTGAAAATTGATGAGTTGAGTCTTGAAAATTGACTAGTGCTAAAAAAAAAATTTTTTTAAAGTTTACTTTTTGGTGGGAGGCATATTTTTTGTGTGATCTACGCTTACCATTTAAAAACATGCACATTATTAGCTTAATATAATGCTATAGTTGATTTTTTTATTAAATCAAAAAAACACTAAATGCCTTCAAAAATATTTGGGTTATAAAATGACCTTAGTTTTTGATTCAAATTATCTCTAAAAACGAAATCCTTAATAAAATATTTTTGGTACTCTTGATAAGCTGTGGTTCTACTTTTTGGAATAAACAAATAAAAAGTTTTTGTATTTTAAGTCATCGGATGCACGATTGAAGAACATACAACTCAAACTTTTTTGTCGGCATAAAACCTCAGATCTTTTTTCTTTAGCCGTGTTTTATCGATTATCGATATTACACGCTCAGATGTTGAAGTGCCTAGCTGGATGACGGCGAAAGCATTGATACGGTTGAAGAATGGCTATCGAAACCAATAGCGGAAGTTGAAGCAGCAAATGCAATTAAAAACGAAATGGTAAATAAGTTGGATCTAATAAATAAAAACGAATGCGTCAAGAGATTCGAGTATGAAAAACAATTTATGGAACACCAGTTAACAATCCAAAAAGAAGCGGAACAAGCGGAAACTTCAAAACGAAGAAGAATGGTATCTAAGGAAGCTAAAAACAAAAGAAACATTGCGTAAATCTGTTGGAAACAATAACGAAGCTGTTCAGCAATCCGTCAAGCTTCAAAAGTATACTATTACAAAATTTGATGGCGATTATAAAGACTGGTTACGATTTCGGAAACAATTCACGGTGGAAGTCGATAACTCTAACATATCAAACATTAGCAAATTCAATTACTTAATGGAACTCGTCGAAGGAAAACCCAGAGAGGACATACTTGGTTTACCACACTCGTTAGAAGGATACGAAGAAGCCAAGCGTATATTACAAGACACTTATGAAAAAGATATTTGGATTCACAAAGCATTGATTAAAGATCTTGAAGGAATGATAGCTCTACACAATACGCACAAAATTAAAGAAATTCGCGATTTTTTTAATAAACTTGCAAGAACAGTGCGAACATTAAAAACGATGCACAAACTAAAAACTGCTCAATCATTTGTGTATTCATTAATGGATAAACTTGGACCGGTTTGTGAAATACTCACACAAAACGATGATGGATGGAAAGAATGGGGACTGGAGCAACTCGTCGAAAAGTTACAAAAATACATAGAAAGAAATCCATTGAACTCCGATTTCAACACTGAACAAATAAAATACGATAAAAAAAACCCAAACGTACAGTCAAGGTCTTATGAAAACTGAATCAGTGCATTCAAGCAACATAATAGTGGTAATTATTATAAATCAATGATGACAAGTGTTGGTAAAATGAATGTATCTACTGTGGGTTGCGAAATCACAAAAGCGAAAGTTGTATAAAAGTGTTAAACGTTGCTAGACGCAAGGAGATTTTAAAAAACAAAAGATTATGTTACAGCTGCATTGGTTATGGACATTCCGCGGCAAATTGCCAATCAAGAGGATGCAGAAAGGGTAACAAAAAACATCACACGTCGATTTGTCAAAATGTAAATGCAACAATGGACGATAAAAAAGAAACCATGGGAACAGTGTTTAATGCGAGTACTACTATTCACCCGACAGTAATGGCAAAGGTAAATGATGAAAAAGCAAGGATTATGTTGGATACGGGTGCTTGAAGTTCTTATATATGTACAAACTTGATAACAAAACTGAAGTTGAAACCTACACGAAGGGAACATAAAACCATTGAACAATTATATGGAACGGTAAACAAACGTGTGGAAATATATAATGTTACGCTAGAATCAATAACAATACCGGAATTTCACATCAAGATTGAATGCATCAACGCAGAAAGGGAAATACTGACCTTTTTACCCAATCCGATGATTAAGGAGGTAAAAAAGCAATTTGCTAGACTTAGGAGACTGAAATTTAGTAATGGTGGAGAAGACGATGAAATACAACCTGTTTATATAATACTTGGTGCTGCTGATTATCAACGAATAAAAACTACCGAGCCGATGGTTCTCGGAAAAAATCCGGATAAAGATCCCGGAGCTGAATTGACTATGTTTGGATGGACTTTCTCTGGGAAACAAATGGAATTAAGCTCTGGTATTGAAAAGGGTTTTTTATTAAACACTGGTCGTGATGAGTTCGAGCAAATGTGTAGTCTTGAAGTTCTTGGATTGTCAGACACAAACAATGAATCAATGTTCCACCAAGACTTTAGCGAAAAGCTGCACCAAACAAACGAAGGTTATTATGAAACTAGAATGCCTTGGAAAAAAGATGTTGTTAAACTGCCGAACAACAGAGATCTGGCAATTAAAAGATTAAAAAGTACAACAAATCGATTGGAAAAACTTAACAAACTAGAGCAGTATAATGAAATAATGATGGAACAGGTCAGTGAGGGAATACTGGAAAAAGTGCCAGAAAAACCTACGGGAGAAATTGTTCATTACATTCCTCATCAAGCTGTAATCAAGGAAAATGCTGAGTCAACAAAAATGCGAGTTGTTTATGATTGTTCAGTAAGAAAAGATGCTCAATCACCTTCATTGAATGATTGTCTAGAAGTAAGACCTTCGCTGCAACCTCTAATATTTGACATTCTAATACAAAATCGGATGAACAAACTCTGCGTTTTAGCTGACATTAAGAAAGCATTTCTACAAATCCGAATTCAAGATATGGATAGAGACGCACAACGATTAATTTGGTATGAAGACTTAAAGAAAATGAAATTAATGGAGTTACGATTTACAAGAGTAATTTTTGGTTCCAGTTTAAGTCTTTACATTCTCGGCGCTACGATTAAAAAACATATATCAAAATACAAGGATATTTATCCAAAGACAGTAGTTGCTTTGGAAGAAGATACTTATGTCGATGATTTGCAAGCGGGTGGAGAAACGGAAGAAGAACTTATCAGGTTTAAATATGAATCAACACAAATCTTGAACGAAGCTGGTTTTCAGTTGCACAAATGGCATAGCAACGTGAGAGAATTGGAAAATAATGTTGAAGACAAATTAACAAAAATACTTGGACATCCTTGGAACAAGAAAACAGATCAATTGTCAATTGAATTCTTTACTTGCATCAATAACAGAAATAAAGAAAATTTAACAAAAAGAAAAATTCTATCTGCAATCAACAGTGTATTTGACGTATTAGGATTTAGTGCACCTGTGTTAATCACTGGAAAAATACTGTATAGTCGAGTATGCTTATTAAAAATTGAATGGGATCATCAAATACCGAAGAAACTTTTGGAAGAATGGCAAACTTGGATTAAGGCAATAAACAACAAAAGAATTGTATTGATTCCTCGGTGTGTTGTGTCCGAAAGAATTAACGAGCTAGTAGCTGCACATACCTTAAGCAAGTTGATGAACCATGTCAGGAAAACATTAGCCAAGTATAACATTAGTAAAGCTTTTGATTGGGTTGACAGCACTGCTGTACTTTGCTCGCTAAAGGAAAGAGGCAGTTGGTCACAGTTTGTAAGAAACTGAGTTCAGCAAATCTTATTAAATGAAGAAGTAAAATGGCTTTTTGTCCCGACAAAAGAAAACCTTAGCGATCTTGGAACAAGAGGAGTGAGTCCGGAAAAGTTGTCAAACTTGTGGTTCAATGGTCCAATATGGTTGAGTCATAAAAAAAATTGGCCAAACTAATCGGAAATATTTGATAACTCATATGGCACATTATGTGAAAGTATTGCTCTAAAGGAGAACGTCTGGATGGTAACAGAAGAAGTAAAGGAAAATTGCACTTTTGAAGAATTGTGGAACAAATATAATTATTGGAAGATTTTAAGGATATCGTCGTTTATAAAAAGGTTCATTTATAATTGTCGCAATAAAGAAAAAATAGTCGGACCAATAAAAACGGAAGAGATGATAGAAGCCGAAATGGTCAATATTAAACATCTACAAGGATTTGTTGTGCTAAAAGCCGATGTGGAACTTAAAGAGAATGTAAAAAACAAAGCACTTCTAAATATTGGACGAGTTGAAAGCGAATACAAAGGAAAAGATGGAGTTACGTGTGGTTTAAAAATACGATTGGGGAACGGTTATGTAATTGAACGACCAATTCAACTGGTGTGTGACCTGGAAATCGATTTTGAGGCAGAGAGAATGATTGAATCTAAAAAGAACGTGGAAATTGCTAAAAAAGTGAAAACCCTAAAATAAGTACCGAGACGGGCGAAATTAGATGCAAGACAAAAAATCAGTTGCATCATGGACGACGAGATGGCTGATTAAAGCCGAAGTCTCAGCTTTAATCGGGGGAGTGTGTTGTAGACTACGTCTTCCAAGATAAGTAGCAAAAATTAGCGGTTGTATCTTAATATTAACATTAATATATTTGTAATGATGCGGTCTTCTTAAAGATACTGAATAATTACGCCAACGTTATTTTAAAGTTACAGGGTTTATGCGAAATATAAAACATTTTTTAAGAAAATATAAAACATTTTTTAAGAAAATATAAAACATTTTTAAAGAAAATATAAAACATTTTTTAAGAAAATACAAAACATTTTTTAAGAAAATATAAAACATTTTTTAAGAAAATATAAAACATTTTTACAGAAAATATAAAACAAATTTTATGCTAAGATAAAACATTTAATTAGGTAATTAAATGTTTAATATTTTAACATAAAATATTCAATTACGTAATTACTCTATACTATGGAATTTATGTGGTTTATTCACAACAAAGAAAGAGATCTGTAAAAATATATTATTCAAGCTTTATTTTGTTGTTTTAAAATAAATGGAAAACAAGAGACAAAGAAAAAAAAGAACACTTATTACAAAGGATATTGTAAAAACAATAAGAAAGTCAATTCTTAAAGAAATGAAGTTAAAAGAAATTGCGGAAGAAGTTGAAATATCAGTTTCTGCAACACGTTCTATTTCTGATAAAATCTGTAAAGGACTTAGTGATGATGAAATCGCATCAGTAAAAAAAGGAAGGCGCAGCTCTTATGACGAGACACTTAAATCTGAAATTCGAATGTTAATTGAGCATGACCCATCTCATACGTTAGCATCATTGAGAAACATTCTCGTTGAAAGGAATATTAATGCATCTATACCAACAATATCTAAATATTTGAAGTCGATGGAGTTCACTAGAAAACGACTTACATTAGTACCAAAAGAAAGGAACTCGCCGCAAAACATTGATTTAAGACAAAGTTTTTGCAGGACTATTAATTCGATTCCTGACAATAACTTAGTGTTTCTAGATGAAACAGGCTTTAATTTACATACTTCTAAACAGTATGGTTATTCTATAAAGAATACAAAATGTTTTGTTACAGTGCCAGCAAATCGTGGAAAGAATGTAAGTCTCATGGCCGCTATAACAGTTAATGGTATTTTAAGCTTTAAGATAGTGGATGGTGCCTATAATGGCAATCTTTTTTGCGATTTTATAACCAACAATTTAAGACCGTATTTCCAAACGTATCCCCATTCTGTACTAGTATTGAATAATTGTGCATTTCACCGTAGAAGAGATGTAATCAATTTGCTCAGCCAATCCAGTGTTTCAGTTTACTTTTTGCCACCTTATTCACCACAATTGAACCCGATTGAGGAATACTTTAGTTGTCTTAAAGCTAATTATACTTCTATAAGGCCGTTTCCAAAAACTAGCAATGAAGTTAAGGCTACTTTAAATTCGCTTATACCGACAATTGGCGTTGATTTTTGTGGTTGGTTTGATAATATGAGAAGATGGGTTTTGAAAGGCATAGCAAGACAAGAATTTTACTAAAGTGGATACTTTGCTTTTTATATTATATCTTTAAGTATAATGAGTTATAATTATATAAAAGATACTCTTTATTCTTTAGAAATTTATGAATAACTTTATGTATCATAATTGCACTATTGATTCAACTACAATGTTTTATATTTTCTTAAAAAATGTTTTATATTTTCTTAAAAAATGTTTTATATTTTCTTAAAAAATGTTTTATATTTTCTTAAAAAATGTTTTATATTTTCTTAAAAAATGTTTTATATTTCGCATAAACCCTGTAATATAATATTTTGTGGTTTTGAATTTTATATAAAAAATGGATGATATTTGTAAATAATAGATTCGTGAATGAATATGTAGAATGTGATGAAGGACTTTTTGCAGCTCCTTGCTTTTTACAATTATCATACAAAAATGAATATTAGTAAATGCATTTTTAAAATTTTATGTTTATGTAGTATAATTTATATATTCTTAAACTTGAATAATAACATTTTGTAGTGTTTATTAATGTTAAAAATAGTAAAAAACATTTTTTATTCTATGAGTTAAAAAACACGATGAAGTTAAAAAAAAGCTGGACTAATCGCGACTGTTAAAAGGTTAAACAATAACTTAAACGTCCATCTACTAAAAAGTTCTTGGTAATACCATGGAAGTATAAAACAGATGGAAGTTCATTGAGCCGCAAACTTCAAAACAATTTCAAGTCATCTCGGAAGTATGCTTGTAACCGACAATAATAAAAAAAAAAAAACAAGTTTCACTGGATAAAAAAACAACAAAATCCACTGAAATGATCTTTATTAAAAAATTAAAAAATGAATTATTCTAGGGATATGCTGGAAATTTTTAACTATTAGTAATTGCAATTATTCAGCAAAAGGTTTATTAAAATTCGGTAATAAAATAAAACCACTTGATTTTAAAAGCATGCGTTAGTTTAAGCTTCTTTTCTTGCTTCAAGTCATAACACGACATTTGATAAAAAAGACAAAATTAAAAAAAAAATTGTTTTCTAAATAACTAAAGTTTAAAGTTTCATTAGCTGTATATCATAATTCCATTCATTCTTGTAGTACTCCATTCATTTAATATGAAGTTTATAAAAAAGTTGTTTGCCGTTTTGTTGCGTCATTTTGAATGTTTTTCTTGAATATTATTGGCGAACCTTTATTTTTAAATTGTTATAAAAGTACCTATTTGCGTCAACGTATAAAGATTAGGCGTTTAAGTACAGTTTTGATGTCTTTTTCTTATTGTTTACAAAACAAAAGGTTACAAGCATAGTCCCAATGCAGTTGAACTTCCATCTGTTTTATACATCCACGGTAATACTATTATAATTTTCTAAAGTTGCACTTAGTCTTGTGGAAAAACTGTTTTCGATTTCTTAACTTTGATAAATGTTATGAAAAATTACTCAGGAAGAGTGTCCCCAGTATTTTTGTTATATATTTTCAATTAATGAGCTCAATACTTTTGCAATTCTTTTGTTACGTAACTCTAACTCTTAAAAAAATCCACAATAATAATCGCTCGGTATCGTAAGTGATGTAACGTAAGTTAAATATATAGTAGGTATATGCAGTGCCAGATCAAGAGGGGGGGTAGCTCCACTGGTTAGGGGGACTATAGCCCCGGGGCCCGCAAAACTAGGGGCCCCCAAAAAATTAAAAAAACCCTTTTTTTTTTTTTTATAAGTCATTTTTAGGCTCTGGCCCATAAAAAGGCCTCAATAAACAAAAATAGCCCCGGGCCCCTAGAAGTCTTAATCCGCCACTGGGTATGTGACATGAATAATTTTAAAATGATTATATACTAGATTGTTATATATCATTAGAAAGCTTCAATACAGTGTTTAAAGGTGAAAAAAGTATCAAAATTCAACATACCTACCAAAAGTTAGGGGTCATCCGTAAAGGACGTTACTTTAAGTTTAACTAATGGCAAGAAGTAGGAAAATGTTGGCTCTCGTGCGCAGAGACTTTGAGAATAAGATAGCGCTTTATGTTCATTGAAAATCTCCGCGGAAGGGAGCCAATAAACTTCTACTTCTGGTTAGTAATTAAATTCTGAATGACGTCCTTTCTGGACGACCCCTTATGACGTTTTATGCAGGGCCGACGACACGGGTTTTGAAGTGGGGGGGGGGGTACAATCATTAATTTGTGAAAATAGTCCTTTATATCAAAATTTTTCTTAAAAAAAAAAAAAGTCCTCTAGAAAAAAAGTGGAGGTGCCCCCTGTAAAACTGTGCATTCTGTAAGAAAAATATAATTTGCAAACTAATTTACAAAAAACGGGTCAATCAGAACGTAACAAAGATGGATTATAACCCATAATATCATAATTACGATATTATCGAACGACTGCTTTGCTTAATACCAACTTAAGTTGAGCAAATTATAATTGTTTATTATAGTTATAATAATTAGCTAATTGCCAATTAGAACGTAGCTAACCCATAATATCGTATATACGATATTATGGGTTTTAGACCATATTATCGTAATTACGATATTATGGGTTTTAGCCCATAACATCGTAATTACGATATTTAAATGGGTTAAAATTAAACCCATAATTTTTTTATAAATCATAAAATTTATGACGGGTTAAAATTTAACCCATAAATATCGTATTTACAACCATAGTCATAAAAAGTATTCATTCTTATGACTATGTTACAACATTATGGGCTATAATCCGTACCTCATCTATGTTACGTTCTGATTGGCCCGTGTTTTGTACATAAAAACCTTTAAAAAAAACTTTATTTATGTTGCTTAAGATAACCAGAATTACGCCACTGTTACTATTTTCGGTAAGAGGCTTTATTTTATAATTTAAGTAATAAAATAATATATTATACAACATATACATAATAAAATGTTCATATATATATATATATATATATATATATATATATATATATATATATATATATATATATTTATATATATATATATATATATATATATATATATATATATATATATATATATATATATATATATATATATATATATATATATATATATATATTACTTTTAAAAATAACACGATGTTTTCTATTCTTGATATTTTTCGTAAAATTTATTTACATTTTCAAAAGATTGTTTTACAATAAAAAAAACTCTGAAAAAAATATTAAAAAATAAAAGTCTGTTGGTTTTGATAAAGATATTAAGAATCTATCATTAGTTTTACAAAATAATTTTAAATTTAGGTTATTTATATAAATAACAAAGCATATATAACATATTTTCCCTGATAAATGTCCCCTAAATACAAACTCATATTAAATTACGGATATAAGCCCCATGATATATGTGCTATATATTAAAATACATCAATCACAAAAACTATTAACTGGATAAATTAAAGAAACTGACAACAAAGTTTATATTAAATGTATCTTTGACAGCTTGTTTATCTTTAAATTTTTACTTACAAATCTATACTTATATTGTTGTTGTTTTTTTTTAAATTGATAATTCATAGACTTTATTAAAGATTTAATTTATCATTGCTTTTTAATACAGTATTTTTGTATACTTAAAACATTTTGCCTAAATGGAGTTTACAAACGGATGGGTCGCAGCTGTTTGGCTTGAAAATGTTGATGGTAAGAGAGAAAAAGTAGATAGTGTGGTGCCAGTAAAATGGTTAGACAAGGCGGAGAAGAAACTGTATTGGGTACAAGGCACGAATGTACTAAAGTTCACAAATTCTACACCAAACAAAGAGCTACGGTGTCAATACGATCTAGTTTCAATTAAGTTAGTTGCAGGTAAGTGATTTAAAAAGTGTTACGGTTTAATTTTGGATTTTAACACATAAGCAATGCTGGAATACACATATAGTTAGAGTTTACAAACATTTGGTATGTCATCTAATTTTTTAATGTGTTGTTCTTGAAGAACGTTGTTTATTACATATTAATTTAAAATATTTATTTTCAGACGAAAAAGAAACATGTAAACAATTTCTATCTATATATACGTGTTCAAGTGCCTGCGAAACAATAGAAAAGAAGAAGCATTAAGTAAGCTTGGAATTTTTTTAAATGTTTTTAAATAATCTGAATAATTTTGTTATTTGTATTTAGTTAAACGATGAAGTTATGACAAAAGATTCGCTCCTTATCTTTTATGTTAAAGTTGTTATTTCCTTTTTAACTGTTGTCTGTGATTAACAAAGCATGTAAAAAATGTACATAATGATCATCATTGTTGCTATAGTATTTATTATTGTGTTATCTTTCAGAGAAAATCTTTACGTCAAGTCCGTGGTTTGAATGCGAAAGACCAAGTAAAAATGATACTGGAAAGGTACACTTTCTTTTAGCTAAACAACATTGTAGCTTTCTAGTCTTTATTTTTGTTCATGTGTGATTCATCTGTGTTGATAATGATATCGCCTGTTTTTATAATTTTATGTTGTTAGGTAAAGCATCATTATATTTCAGGCTAAAATTGAGCTTTGAACAATAGGTTTATCTAGTTTAAATAAATAACAACTCTCAAGGTGTATTAGCTTAATTATCTATAACGGATTTTTAATTTGTTATGGGTCTACAACACTTAATTTCAACGAAATTAAATTAAAAAGTTACGTCATAGAAGACAAGAAAAATATCAACATCTGTTTTTGATAACTTGTCTTTCATAGCAAATCTGAGAGGTGCAAATGCTTAGTTTGCTTTAAGTACTACATAATATAATACATCGTTGTACATTTATTTTGATAATAATAAATTTCTTTAGCATACTCATTTTTTATATTTTTAGACTGTTTACTGTTGGACTTCTGTACCAATTTAACTTAGTGGGGACAAAAAGAAATGACCGCGTCGGAAATAAGAGGGGGTTGAAAGGATCAGCCGTTTTTGAATTAATAGTCGGTAAGTCTAATGTGTTTCACTTAGCTGATAAAATTTCATTTGCTACTTCATATTACAATAAAAGTGACTGTTTTTTATGTTCACTCATTTTTTAGGAGTCGCAGCCAGCTCGTATAAAAAGACTTTTCTACGAGAAATAGTTAATTTTATTTAGAGAAAGCTGAAGAACACCCCTGATCAAATCGGGGGGTTGCGTAGGCAACAACGCCAAGAACAGAGGAGAAGCTCAAGAAACAGAGGAAAAAGATGAAGGTGAAAATAATGTGGAATTTGGAGATGAATCTGCTGATGACTCTTAATTTATTTAACTTAATTTGACTTAATTCTTAACTCTTAATTTAGTTAATATATTCTGCTGAACAATACTGCTGTTTTATTTATAAATAATTCTCCTATGTTTAAACCTATAAAAATTAAAGAAAATGCTTCCTCTTTTATATTGACTTCTAAAAGAGGTTTTTTTCTTGGCACCTTCCGACGCCAAGAAGAAAAACTTTTTCAGATGTGTATAATTTGTTAATTATGATTAACAAATACGGTTAACGCATTTTTTATGCCTTATCATGACAAGCTAAAGACAAAAACGAGTCTTTTCTATGTTGAAAAAAGATGTTTTTTAGATTTGCATAATCGACTAAAAAAAGACGTCTTAAATTCGCATTTTCATGACTTTTCATGACAAGATAAAAATAAAAAAAGACGTCTTTTTGATGTCGAAAAAAGATGTCTTTTAGATTTAAATAATCGACTAAAAAAAGACGTCTTAAAGACGCATTTTCATAACTTTTCATGACAAAAAAAGACGTCTTTTCGATGTCGAAAAAAGTTGTCTTTTAGATTTGCAAAATTGACTAAAAAAAGACGTCTTAAAGACATCGTAAATAAGACTTTTAAAGACGTCTTTTCGACGTCTTTTTTCCCACTGGGTAGTAGGTTTTTTAATACAAAAAGTAGTAATTGTTTGATTTTACATCCCAAGGAAACATTAGAAGTGTATCTTATAGTTAGGGTGGATATGGTGGTGATGGTTTAATACACTCTAGTATAAAAAAAATATATTTTAATAAATTTTTTTTTTATCAACTATTATAACAATTATAACAAATTAAATTTATATTCTACTTGATTACTGTATTGCAAATAAATATTAAAAGCATGCAGTAAAATTTTGATGAACTTAAAGAATTTTTAAATATTTTAAACTACACGTTCGATGTCATCTCTTTCAGAGACATGGCATGATACAGAAAGTTCTCTTGAATCAAATTCTAATTATATTTTACCATTTTAGAAACTAATTAGTCAACCACGAGAAAGTGGGAAAAAGGGAGGAGGATTAGGAATTTATGTCTTAGAAAAGTATGTTTTTAAAATAAAAAACATATTATGCTTTTCAAATAATAATTATGAAAGTCTCTTCATTGAAATTAATGATAAAAAATACCGAAATATTTTAATTGGATGTGTTTATCGCCCACCGAGTGGAAAAATAAAAAACTTCGGAACTTTTATCAAAAATACGATTATGAAAATAAATAAAGAAAATAAAACATTATATATTACTGGTGACATAAATCTTGATGCTTTATCTAACTCTAAGTTTCCAAAAATAAAATCTTTTTTTGATATGCTATTTAAATTTAATGTCTTGTCAACTATTAATAAACTAACGTGTGTAACAAAACTTCGGCAACAGCAATAGACAATATTTTAATTAGTAATTATTTAGAAACGACATTCGAAACCGGTATATTTATGGCAGATATAAGCGATCATTTCCCGATATTCATAAAATTAAATAACCTTAAATCTACGTCTAACTGTCAATCTAAAACCAGTGTTGATAAACGGCGTAAATCTTCTTGCTTCCACTTTTCTTTCGCAATAGACGGCTGCTGCCTCCCGATCAATCTTTTCAGCGGAGTTGAATTCAGCGGCAAAATGTTCTTTCTTCTGACAAATAGTTAAAGTTTTTGATCGTTTGATATTTTGTCGTCCTTACGTCACGCTAAAACTTTAATTTTTCGACCATAACATTAAGAAATTAATTCTAGTCATTATATATTGTAAAAATATTTAAAAAACACAACATCTTTTAACATTATTAAAAATTAATAAAGTTAATTTATTTAACATTTATTTATTTATTTGTTACAACAAGTTTATTTATTACAACAAATATTTAACATTTGTTTCTAGTTAATATTTAATTGCTTTAAAGCAAACGAGCAATTATTTTTCATTACATTCGCCGGCTAGAGGCAAATATTTCCGCCTCCAATTTGACGGCCGCAGCCAGTAAGGAGACAGAAGCCATTGGAGGCGATCTTCAATGGCTTTGCCTCTAAATGGCTTTGCCTCAAAATTTCTTCTGGAGGCGGCCACCATTGGTTTCTGCCACTCTATTGTCGCGAAGCGGAAATAGGATTTTACTTACTTTTCAGAAAAAAATTTTCAATTTTAATATTTTAAATATTTTTTAACTGAAACAAGTTAGTATTAGTTAATAAAAAAAAGTTTTTTTTTAATTTTTTTAAATTTGCCTTTTTAGGTGCGGGATTTTCAGGGGTAAAAAAACCCATGTTTTCACTAAATCTTTAAATTACATAAGATAATTTTCAAATTTCTTCATTTTTTTTGCACATTTTCTAATAAATGATACATTTCGTAAATTAAAAACCAAGAAAAGAAAAAAAAAATGTTTGGATCATTGTTTTTGGGTGTCTGTAAAGATTGATCGATTAGACCATGTTACTACAGAGGTAGCCAGTTTTTTATTTTTTTTTAAATTTTCTCAAACAAATTGACTTTTTATAAGTGAAATAATATTCTGGCTACCTCTGTAGTAACATGCTATAAAATCAATTCAAAAGAGGTGGATTTATTAAAAACCGGTTAGTTAGTTTTTGTCAAGAAGAAACTGGATGCGGGCGGAACATTCTTTTCTAGTCTTTAAGTTATAACCTCAGTTTGGCTCTCATCGTGATTTAGAATTTTTTAAAAATGGTTACTTTTAATCTTAGCAAACTTCTGGCTGATAATTTTCCTCCAAGGCATATTTTCACGAGTAAAAACATATCTGAATGTGCTAAATTTTTGCAGTCCAAGTTTTTATCACTTTATGCTGATTGCACTGTGAATTTCAACATTTTCAAAAGTCTGGCTTTTAACTTAATAAAAAAATTTAATGAGTGTGGAAAAAGAAAAAAGTTCTTTCTTACTAAATATAAACATTTTTTGGATCAAAATCAAGAATGCAAATATCTCTTGTGAGTATAATATATTCTATATTGATTTATTATAAATAAGTAATAAATATTGCATTATAGTATATATATATATATATATATATATATATATATATATATATATATATATATATATATATATATATATATATATATATATATATATATATATATATATATATATATATATATATATATATATATATATAGGTAATGTTGCAGAATAGACACGTTAAATAAAATTATCTTTTAGCTTTTTGCGCTCTCGTTCGTAGATACTTAAAAAATTCTATTGAATGTTCTTTAAAATGGAACATTCATAAATATCATAGTAGTAGTAAATTTCAAAGTAGTTAATAAAATAGTTTTTTGTTTGAAATTTTTTTTTAATTTTTCATTTATTAATAATTTTTTATTAATATGTATTTAACTATTTTATTAGTAATAATTTATTAAATACAATTAGTTGAAATAAATAATTGTAATAATAAAAAATATAGTTTTGTTAAAGCTATTGTTCATGCTAATGTGTTTTTTAAAAATATGTGGCTATGAAAATAGCCGTTTAAGTTAGAGTGAGTTTCCACTCATCCGTTTTTTCGCGGGAACGGGAAAGGGACAGTAAAAATAATCACGTGGCATGCGTAGTATAAGTTTTAATATATTCGAAGGAAAACTACGCATGCTCATGTGATTATTTTTCCTTTTCCTATCCCGTTCCCGTGAAAAAACGGATGAGTGGAAACTCACTTTTATAGTTTAAACAGGATACGTGAAATGCAAAAAATAAATACTGAAAATAAAAGCAAATTTTTAAAACGTTAAAACGTTTTGTTTTTTTTATATTAAATGTGTTTATTTTACCTTTTGATAAGAGCAATGAAAAATTATTTAAATTAATGTAAATTTTTCTTACTTTTTACTTTTATTAAAACTCCATCGCAGATTTAAAAAGCAAAATAATAAAACGATTTAACGTGTCTATTCTGCAACATTACCCAGATGCAACCCGTCATCTTCTTTTTTGTTTTGCAAAAAAGACTGCTAGTTTTATTCAGGAAAAATTTGAACATTTGAAAAATGAAATTTTTTTATTGAAGAATATTGAATTTAAACTTGGTGAAAGTACTTTTGTAGTAAAGTCTAGTTTGTCAACTATTTATACCACAATGAATGATGGCAAAACACTAAACGCTGTTGTATCAAATATGCTTAAAAAAAGAATTTCATCTCAGTCCTGCCATGTATGCCTTGCAAATTCTAAGGAGTTTAACTTGAAAACTATTTGTAAAAAAAGTATTAACTTAAACAAGCATGTTTTGAAACTTGGAACTTGCAGTTTTCATCTAGGGATACGCTGTATGGAGTGGATTTTCAATACTGCTTGTAAACTCCCAGCTGTTAAGCAAGGAAGAAATATTCCATCACAAAAGAGTAAAGAATTTATTGAAAACAAAAAAAAATTCCAGCATTTATTCAAGATAAAACTGAATATAAGGGTTTCTTTTGTCAGGAAAGGATGTGGAACAACCAATACTGGAAATGTTGCTCGCAAATTTTTTAATAACCCCATTGTGACAGGGAGAATTTTAAACTTGGATATCAGAATGATTAAGTTGTTTCGAGATTTACTCATTGATATAAACAGAACAACTACAAGACCGGATATAAAGGTTTTCAAACAGAAATCTGAACATCTATTTGCACTCATAACTAATGATAAATTTTTAAAAACCATACCTATGTCACAATCTGTGCATAGAGTGATAGTTCATGGTACTTCTTTTATAAGGTATTTTAAGTATCCGATAGGTTCTTTGTCTGAGAGTGCTATTGAAGACAGAAATAAGGTAAACAAAACTGCTCGAATTGGTCATGCTCGTTTAACCTCTTTTGTAGAAAACACTAGGGATACAGCTAATTATTTGTTTATGACATCTGATATGTACCTCTTTTGCAAAAAAAATAAAATGGATAAAAAAAGAGTGAAAACAAAATAGTTTAAGACAGCAAAGTGACAGTTCTTCTGATAACTGCTTAAAATAAAGGTAATATAGTTTTATTATTAATATTGTTAATAGTTTTGATTGATTTTTTTTTGGTTAGGCAATCTCATAATTTTGGTTAATTAACAATTCAAAGTTGCGTTTTTTTTTTGTTTTTTTTTTATGTTTTTAAAAAAAATTTTAAGAAAATATTTAATCTATTTTAACAAGTAATTAACTATTTTAGGAAGTAAGACCATGAAGAATCATACTGATGAGCTGTTCTGCGTTGAATTTTTAAAAAACGGCTATTTTCATAGCCACAAGTTATTAAAAACATCTATTAGAATAGAATGTTGAGAAACTGTAAAAGAATGCAAAGAGCCAAGTATCATATGATAGCAGAGTTGTTTATTATATTCAATGATACTGTTTATTTTGAAATAGTGTTCATATACATAGTTTGTAAAATTCTATAAAATATACGCGCCTACTTTTTTTTGAATAAAATCATCCGGACTTGTGTAGTTTTCCGGACAAATCTAGAATTAGTCCGGACTAACCGAAAAAAAATACAATAAATTGTTTTTTAATGAAAACCGAATATGATTCTTTTAAATATAGAAATATAAATAAAAATTTGATGTCTTGTGAAAAAATAAGTTAAATATTTTAAGTCCTTCTTTATTTATATGCCTATTTCCTCATTTTGTATAAGAGCAACGCATAGTGTGGCGTCGGCCTCCAAAACATTTTGCCTCCAAAAAAGAACTCCGGCTGCGGCTGCCAATAGAAAAGCAGAAGCCACTGGAGGCGGAAGAAAGAACATTTTGCCGCTAAAAATTGATCGCGAGGCCGCCGTCAACAGCTTCCGCCTCCTTTAAAAGTCGCCCTTTCGGCAGAAAGTTACTTTGCCGCCTGGCGATATTATCATTGTCTAAAACCACACATTTGAAAAAACGAAATTTAAAAATGAGTAACACTGATAAGTTAACAAGTAGGCTAAAACAAGAAACGTGGAACAACGTATATAAATGTCAAGATACTAATGAAGCTTACAATGCTTCTTTAAGTACATTTTTGAAGTATTTTAACGAAACCCGTCCGCAAAAGTCAAAAGCTCTTGCTAATTCGTGGATGGATAAATCATTATTAAAGTGCTCAAAAAAAAGCAAAAACTTTACAATAAATTTCTGAAAAATAAAAACAATGGTAATGAAAAAAATTACAAAAGTTATAAATATTTTTACCTTTATCTCATTAAAAATGCCAAAGATACAGTGGATCATTGCATTTTCTTAGATAAAATAAGACATTACGGAATTGACAATAAAACTTATTATTGGATTAAAAGCTATCTTACCAACAGAAAACAATATGTACTTAATGTCCATTCTGGAGAATTAATTATGTTTTATGTGGACTCCCGCAGGGATCAATTCTCGGCCCATTCCTATTTCTTACATAAATAAATAACTTCTGAATGCATCCTTAAAACTGAATTCAGTCATGTTTGAAGATGACACGAATCTATTTCTTACCAACAATGGTATCAAAACATTATATGCTGACATGAATATAGAACTAGTTAAAGTAAACAACCGGTTTAAAGCTAACAAACTCTCGCTTAATGCTGAGAAAACAAATTATATACTATTCCATAAAAAAATACATGAGGAAAATCTTCCTCTCAAGTTGCCTAAACTATTTCCAAATGATAAACTAATTAAAAAGCAATCCAATATAAGATTCTTAGGAATCATTGTTGATGAAAAGTTATCCTGGCTACCTCATATAATATACATCCAGCCAAAAATTACCAAAGTCAAAGATTTGATGTATTGAGTTCGCTCTTATGTCAATACACAAAGTCTGAAACTAATATACTTTGGGCTAATACATAGCTTCATCAGCTATGCAAACATTTCATGGGCAAGTACTCAAACATCAAAGCTTAAAAAACTGTATAGTTTGCAAAAACATGCTTGCAGAATCATTTACTATAAGGATAGGCGTGAACACGCTAAACCCTTAATGAGTGATATGAAAATGATGAATGAGTTTGAAATAAATGTCTATCAGCATTTAATTTTCAAGTATCATTACAATCAGGGCTGTGGAGTCGGAGTTGCGGAGTTGTGACATTTTCACCGGAGTTGGAGTCGGAGTCGGAGCGCTAAACAAAATCGCGACTCCGATTCCAATAGTAAAACTTCTCGGTTTTGCACGTGCATGTACAAAACATTCAATCAATCTTATGTTCATACTAAACCTCAAAGAACGTTTCATAAATTTGTTAAAAAAATTTTTTTTAACTTATCGCGTAATATTTTTTTAAGAATTAAAAGAATTTTTAAAAATTTGGCTTTGGAGTTGGAGTCGGAATTGGAGTCGGAGTTGGAGTCGGAGTTGTACTCCAACAACTGGAGTCGGAGTCGCGGACGTTACTTTTTTTTACGATTCCACACCCCTGGTGTGGAATATAAGCTTTAATTACAAGTTTGAATTAAATAAAAATGAAAACTATAATCTTAGAGCAAATATGTTAAATACATATTTGCTCTAAGATTAGATGCCTCGGATATAAACTGCCTCGGATAATAAATAAATATTCAGAATATAGTATTTCATATCGAGGTCCTAAAGTATGGAATACCTTTCAAAAAGGATTCAAAGGAACGGTTAATTCGTTAAGTTCATTCAAATTTATAACGAAAAAAGAAATTTTTAAAATTTGAGAAACGTTTTTGGTCGATGTTACCACTCTGCTTTTTGTTGTTGTTGTTGTTGTTGTTGTTGTTGTTGTTGTTGTTGTTGTTGTTGTTGTTGTTGTTGTTGTTGTTGTTTAACAATCTTATTAGCGAATTACGCATTTTATTACCATATTTATTACAATGTTTAATTGAAATTTTATTACTTATATATTTTTATTAAATTTTATTACGTATTACGTATTACGATATTTTATTGAAATTTTGTTTAAGGGGCTCTATGAAAAGATTGCGAAGACGTACTTTTATGAAGACGTGTCTTTTATGAAGCACGAAGTTGTAAAATTCTTATGTTATATTAAAACAGAAAAAAGAAAAAATATATATATATATATAAAAATTACAACATATACCAGTAGTGCTGAATGGGGGAGGGGGGAGCAAGGGCGTATATACCAGTGGTGACGAATGGGGAGGGGGGAGCAATGGCGTATGGTTCTTCCCCTCTGTCTTTGACATAACCCAAAAAAATAATTTAATTGCTTTTAATGTGCGCTAAAACTACTAAAACAAAATTTAAATACAACTATTGTACCTCATGTCGCTTGGTATAACCAGAGTGGGAGCTGCTCCACCATTTTAAATATCCAAAAATACATATTTCTTTAAACTAAAATCAAAGTTTTATTTTTATATTCATATTTTTATCTTTATATTCACTTTTTATCAAAACTTTTATAACAAATTAAATTTGTATTTTACTTGATTACAACATTTACCAGTGGTGCATTGGTTGACATAAAGGTGAAGGGAGAGGTGGGGGGAAGAGGTGTATGGTCCTCCCCCTCCGCCCTTGACCTAGACCAAACAAAAAAAATTTTTAATTGTTTTGGGTCAAAGTTTCCAAAACAATATTTAAATGCAATTATGATACCTCGTGTTGCTTGGTATAACCTGAGTGAGTTGCTCCATCATCTTTACTATCCGAATATAAACATATTTCTTTAAACTAAAATAAAAGATTGATGCAATTTTATAATTATTTGTGTTGTTAAAAAATGTCTAAAAATTATTATTAAAAACATGCTAAAAATTAACTATTCATCTGTGTTGTGTTCATTTCCTTTTGGGATAGGGGATTTGAACCCTCCCAACCAAATATAAAAAAAAACTAAAATCAAAAAAAATATATATATAATTTTTAATTACACAGATTATGTATTAAGTTACTTAGTTTGTCTTAGCTTTTAGTAAATGATTAAAAATTAAAGCTTCATTAATGAAATTATATAACAATCATTTTTAACAAAAGACACCACGTGAAGATAATCTAGAGCAGTATATCAAAAAATTTATACAAGTTTCATAACTTTGTGATACCTTTTTGCAAGTCACAACACAAGCGATATCTTTATTGGCAATACTAAACGTAAAAATTATGAAAATAGTAATCATTAAGACTATCAACAAATAACACACATTAACATTGAGAAAATATTAAATCTCCTGAAACAACATCAGCAGCAAGCTGGAATGTTTTAATGCAATAATCAACAGCTTCAGAATTTTGTTGCCAGTAAGAAGTAGTATACTATTTCTTACTGGCAACAAGATTCTTTTATACTGTCGACATCCTGTACTGCATTAAGACAAGCTGAAGTCGTCTTGGTAAGCTGGTCATCAATGCATAATAAAGTTGTAACTGGTTTGAAAATTTTTTGGGGTAGTGTATTACCAAAAAAATCAGTAGTTCTACAAAAGAGTGAAAATGAATTAGATTTGCAATCCTTAATTGTTTCCAAAATGTCTTTTACTACCTGAGCTACTTGTAAACCACCACATTTTACTGTTCCTGTGGTTAGAAAATGAAGAAAATCAGCATCATGTTTCATAAGAATAAAGCAATTATGGAAAAGAATATGAAGACAGTTTCCCGGACGGTTTAATTTACCAGATGTAAAATGAAATCCAATATTATTTTAATAATTTTAAAAGTATTGTTATTATAAAATATAATCATTAATAATATTATCACTAATAACACTATTATTTAAACTAATAGAATTGATAAAAATTAATAACTTGTCTTTATTATAACTTACAACTGTAATTTATGGTCCATTATTATAACGGACCATAAATCATATCATAATTCACCATTAAACTGTGTATAGATAACAATGTACATTGTATATTGTTATAATTTATTTGTAATAATGTATACATATGTATACATTAGTACTAATAGATTATAAGTAATGTATAATAATGTAATACATAATGTATTACATTAACTATTAATAATAATTACATTATTAATAATAATGTTATTATTATTAATTTAATAATAATGATTATTAAATCATTTAACTAATGCATTTTTACTAATAATAGATATTTATTAGATATAATAACTACAATGTTTTAAAATGTTAAATGCAGTAATAATAAAATTAAAATTTACAACATCATTAATACAATTATACTAAGAGTTAAGTCAATAACAATGTATTTGGTCTAAACGAAATTCTCAATCTAATACCGTCCCCTCCCTCAATACAGAATTTGGAAAAAAGGATTTTAGGTACCAAAACTGCGACACTTTTTATGGTATCTGCGACTAAATATTTTTTTCTGAACTTTGGTAGGTGCTTAGTTAATGTGTATAAAAAATTATTCTGATAGTTTTGAAAAAAATCCCACGCGATATTCGCTTACCTATAGCATCAAAAAAACAAGTTTTTTTTCCTTAGCCGGTCACCTCTGATAAACTTATATATATATATTTTTAAATTGGTATATAATTTTTAAATTGGTATACAATTGATTTGCAGAAATCTGATCTAATGCAATATTTTTACCTTGTTTTCCGTGCAATATAAGTTAAGCGACATTTTCAGTAAAAAGTTCGCTATGTTTTGGCCATACTCAAAACTTTTCAGCCTATTTTATTCTTAAGACTAACAGCTTTCATATAAAATAGTTGAAAGTTTAATTTAGAGTTTAAATAGGCAAATATTTGATAAAGTTGTTGCGGGTGTAACGTAAGTTAAAATTGGAATTGCTCATATATATATATATATATATATATATATATATATATATATATATATAATATATATATATATATATATATATATATATATATATATATATATATGTATATATATATATATATATATATATATATATATATATATATATATATATATATATATATATATATATATATATATATATATATATGTATTTATACACATATTAGGGTGCATCACAAAACAACAATTTAACAATTTTGATTTTGTCTGACACCTTATTGTGTTGTGTAGATTAAAAAAACACTGTATTTCAAATATTTTGGTACTAAAAATATTTTTAGAGGTCCCACAACACCCTTGAATATTTAATGTATCCCTAATATTTTCAAAAAAATAGTTTTTTTAAAGTAGGTCATGTTTGGTATTAAATGAAGCAAAATTTTATAAAAAATTTTAAAATAATAAGTTATTTATAAAAAAAACATTACTTTTGATTTTTCTGACAAAATAACAAAAAAAAACTGCACTTTTTTTGTTATTTGCCATATAATATGGCAGAAAAATCTGAAGAAACATTTTTTTATAAAATACTTATTATTTTGAAATTTTTTATAAAATTTCGCTTCATTTAAGACCAAACATGACCTACTTTAAAAAAACTATTTTTTTGAAAATATTAGGGATACATTAAATATTCAAGGGTGTTGTGGGACCTCTAAAAATATTTTTAGTACCTAAATATTTGAAATACAGTGTTTTTTTAATCTACACAACACAATAAGGTGTCAGTCAAAATCAAAATTGTTAAATTGTTGTTTTGTGATGCACCCTAACACATATATATATGACCATTAATTTGATTTTTATTTCATTTAAATCTAATATGTTGTTTTTATTTATTTCTTAAAATTTTATTTATTGAAAGTTTTAACCTGCATAATATTTATATTTAAAATCGTTTTTTTGTTTTATATTTTTCCATTTAGGTTAAAAATGAAATATTTACTGTAGTAGACATCCTATATTTTTTTACAATTTAAAAGTTAAGAAACATTAAATTTGAGACTATTCTCAGAGGCAGGTAACATTTTTGATGAAAAAAGAGCTTGTTTTTCTTCAAAAGTGGATGGCAACTTTTAGCACCATAATATTCCTGAACTTTCAGAAATCCCGACATAAGTGATTAATGCAAATAAAATTAGGCAAAGTCACAGTTAAGTCGTCTAAAATAATTTTATTTTTTCACTTGTTGTACTTTTCGTGTTGAAACTTGCTCAAAGTGGTGACTTTTTAATATAAATGTAAAGAATATTTATTGGCTTTAGTACATACATCGACTATCTTATAGCTTGCTACAAGGTAATACTGCTATATCCATTATCTTTTGTCCTGCTGCTACAAGGGAGCATTGCTACATCGACTGAGGGTTTGGCATAGAAAACCAATCTTTTTTCTTTTATTATTTCATTTAAAATGTCTAATATTTAAAAACCGTCCACTGACGAGAGTGCAACAAGCGAAAAAATAAAATTATTTTATACCGCTTAACTGTAGCTTTACCTAAGAATTTTTAAGTCTTATGTCTTAAAAAACATGTCTTAAAAAAATAATAATAATAAATTCCGGCTTTTTGGCCTGAAATATTGTAATTCCGGCTGGAACCGGAATGACCTAAAAGTCAAGTCCGGCCAAAAAAGAATTCCGGTACATCCCTAGTTTTAACACTATTTAATAAACAAAAGACTATAAAATCGGCAAATAAACTTTTTTAAAAGTTCTCTTTCTTTCGTTTGCAATTATGCAATATTATTATGATTATTGTTAGAGTTTTAAAAAATTCCTGCACCAAGACTTCCAATGGTATGGTGTGTGTCTTACTTTAGCAAAAAAATTTTTCCTAAAGTATATCATGTTGTCTCAGTGGTGAATTTTTACAGAGATTTTATTCATTAGAGATTTTATCTTTTTCAAAATTGCCTTTTTTAAAGAAGGTATTGTTTTAAAAAAAATATATTAAAAAAGATTTGGCGTAATAGTATCGCAAAATTTTGATTTTCACAAGTTTATTGTCGCCAATTCGATTTTTGAAAACGTGAAAAAGGAATAGTTGCAAGTTGTTGAATAACAGAATAAGGAATACTGTCACAAATAAAGTTAATGAAGAGTGTCGAAAACATGTATGTATGTATATTTATTCAATAATCAATAATTATTTACAATTTTATTAAAATCGCACAATAAAAACAGTTCGTGGTACGAATTTATCTAAACTGCATATTCTAATTATTTGCGGAGAGAGGCTGACAAAAACCTCTCTTTTCTGACAGTATTTGCAATTATAGCTGCGCCAGCCAAATTGCATGAATAAATCGTACTATCGAAGTCTACATTTAAAACAATTGAGTGATGGTGCGTTTACTGTAGTAGTTGTTAAGGAGTTCCAGTTTTTAACTACTCGGTTAGTGAAAAAAGTACGTCTTTCTTCATGTTTCAATGTTTTTTCAGCGGCTAATTCAAAGGCATGGCTCCTAGTTCTTAAAATGTATTTAGATCCTCAATAGGCTGGTGTAGTTTGTGGCGCCACAAAATTGATTGAATCAATTCTATTAACTATTTTGTACTGCTGTATAAGATTAATACGCATGCGGCGAGTTTCAAGAGTAGTCAGATTAAGCCGTGTTAGAGTAGTCAGATTAAGCCTTTTTAAATTTCCCTAGCACTCTATTTCCAACTGCAGCTGCGTGTTCAGCTTGTAACTTTCACTTTAAGGTGGTTAGCTGGTAAAAAAACTATTTTTTTAAATATTTGTTGTTTGATACTGAAATAAATACATACAACAACCATCATAAAAATAAATATTTAAAACAAAAAAAAAATTAAAAAAGTTGATTATTTTTTGATGAGTCAGCAAAAATTCAAAAAATTAACTAAAGAGCAAAACATGATTATTTGAAGATCTACAACTGGTATCAGTATGAAATTTGCTACAGTAAGACAATATATGCTTAACTAGTGCCTAAAGCAAAAGTTTTCAAAACTGATTAACTGTTCAAAAATGGCGGAGATTCTTTTAATTTTTATTTTTTTCGATAAATAGTTCAGTGATTAGTGATTGATATCTCATTAAGTCTTTAAGTATATAGCTTTATTCTGCTTTAGGCACTAGTACAGTATATTTTAAACAAGTGCTGAAAATTTCAAGATAAAAACTCTACTAGATCTTTAGAAATCTATGTTTTCGTTAACCCACAAAAAGAATTCTGGAAACCAACAAAACAAAACATAAAGAAAAAAAATTTCAAAAATTTCCAAGTTTGTATGATTCCTCTCCTTCTAGTTCTTTTTCTTTGCCCAAATAACCTTTTCTGACAGCTTTAATCAACTT